AAGCCAAGGTTACGACGATTCCGTCAATTGGATACTCTTGCCGATTGGTAACACTGCCAGTTCACCAGATATTTATCGAAGTCAACGCAGCCGCTTAAATTCAGCTTGGCATCGCTTGAGCCTGCTGACTTGCCAAAAAGCCATCCTGCAAGGGTTCACGGGAGATGTAGATGTCACAATCATATTAGCCGTTAAAATCCAGTACATGTGCCCTAAGGGTATCTGCAAGCACAGACATCAATACTTGAAAAACATCTGATCAAATATGCTCAAACACCGTAGTCCATTCACATGAACAATGCTTCCTTTTGACTGGCCGGACTCCGACCAGGCATGAACAAATAGACAAGTATGGGTAGAAAATCTGAAAACAGCCGCTAGTGTTAATGGATGTCCAGGGAGGGAAAGAAAAAGAAAAATGTGATGTGTGAACTCTTGACGTTCGAATGGAAGACCATCAGAGGACAAGATTACCAGTCTTGACCTCGGTCCTTCATCAGGATCTCAATAGCTTCATCCTCAGGAACTGGATTGTCGTTGAGGTCCTTGACGCATTGCGTGAGCCCTTCCACCGCTTCATCTACTTGCTCGGCAGTCCAGTCGGTGCAAGCCATGACCACTCGACGGTAGTTTTGTCCTAGAACGACGTTCTTGGATCTAAGGCGCTCCACCTCTTCCAGTATGTCATCGTTGAACTTGTGGTATCCCTCTATTCGTTGCTGTATGCTTTCTGCAGGTGGAAACGAGCGAAGAAAAGCAGCTTGCTGCTCGGAGAACCCAGAACTTGGATCAAAGTTGTCAGGGAAGATCGCTTCGAACGCAGCAATATCTAGTCCGAACTCTTTGTCGGCATCACCAACCAAGTACTTCTTGGACAAATCAAATGATCCTCCCTCTGTCTCTTTCAGTTTAGTAAGGAGGTCTTCCGACGACTTTTCAAGGTTCTTGCATCGACGGCTAAGCTCAATGCGCTCTGAAGCTCTACTCTTCAGGTCGTCCAGGTGCTTCTGTTCAATCTGCCGGGCTTTAGCCGACTCGCGAATCTTAGCATGCCAGTGGTCGAACTTTTCTTGCTTCTTTGTCAAGCTGGAAGCCAGATCCCTATCAATGCCGCCTAGCGTCTCGTGCACCAATGAAGTGATCTGCGCCAATGTCGCTAAAAGTCTGTCAGCCAGGTAATCCTATAAACAATGCGGTCGAGCTCTTACAGTCTAGAATCTCTTTCTTGGTTTTGGCCAATTGGTCCATGAAAGAGTCATTCCTATTCCCGGCTTGTTGGGATTGGCCATTGCCATCAACCATATCCACACCCACTCCATAATCGGCCGGTCGCAGACCGGTATGGTTTGGTATATGAGGATCTGCGCCGACTTCCAGAAGCTGGGGCACAAGGACGGAGCGTGCGCGTCCCGCCAGATTAAGCGCAGTGTCTCCTTGATCATCTCGAAGGTTAACAATCTCGGATATGAACCGACCCAGCGTTATGACCTCCCCGGCTTGCGGTAGGGTTTGCCCATTCTCCACGACACCAGCATGCCCTAGCTGATTCGATGAAGAACCACCGTGGCGAACAATGAATTCCAAAAGAGCCTCTAGATAGTGTTTCGCCGACACATGGCCCCCGCCGCCAGTTGCCGCCATCACGGCAATGTGATGTAGTACTGTTCGCCCACTATAATCAACCATGTCAATGGTGGGGGCCAACACCTGTAGTAGACGTGGAAAACTCCGATAGTCGAGATTGTTCCTCGTTCCAACTGATTTTTGTAAGGCCGTTTCACCTGCCCCGTTCAGCCGGAAGATGTTGACGCCTTTCTCCACGAGTGCATACACAAGTGGCATGCGAGCAAGCATTGCTGCCCAATGAAGTGCATTGTTACGGTATTCGTCCAACGGGATTTCCAGGTCTTCTCCGGATAGTTGCATCAAGGCAGGATGCTTCGAAAAGTCCTTCGTCCTCTTGTCCAAGAACAACGTCATGATAAGCTTCATCTTCTGGAATCTCTCGGGAGTAGTGGCAGGTTGCAGAGGCTCAAATCCACGCTTTGTGCCATCGACCATGGAATTGGAGACATCCATGTCCTGGTAGAATGAGTCGTTGGGTTCAGTGGGAGTTGGTTCGTTCATCGACAAGGTTGATTGTTCATAGGGAAGTCCGAAAGGTGGCGCATGGTTGGAAGCAGATCTCATGCGTTTGCGAGGTGGTTCGTTCGACTCCTCAAACTCGAAGCCTGAGCCAACAGTACCTGGATACCGACCATTGCTTTGAACATTGCTTGCGAAGCCGCTGTCGGATGCAACACTGTACATGCTCTGTTGGCTGTTGAATGGGATTTGAGTATCTTGACTGCTTAGCTGCTGTGAGGGTTTTCGCATAGCATTCGACTTCCTTCCGTCAACACCACGTGCGGCCGGTGAGTCGAAGCGGGCTTTGCTCATAGCATTGACCGCAGTAGCAGCAGTGCGAGAAATGTTCTGGAAGAAGGTGCCCTGCTGCGGCTGGGACATACCACGGTTGTCCATGTGGTTATAGAGGCGTTTCCTTTGGGCAGCCATTGCCTGCTCCTTCGTCGGAGTGTCCAAGGAGTCTTGTGCATTTCCGGTCGTTCCATTGGGGCCCTGATCATATTCCAGAAGCGGTCTCAACATTTCCTCAACATGGTATTCGCGGCACAGCTCCACACCTCTCTGGTAATTCACCCAAGTCCCCTGGTATTTGCCGTAGCCACCCTGTACTTTTTCGTGCTCGCCAGCCGCGATTTCTTTCTCCAGTGTTTTCGTCCGTCTGGCCTTGACAACGCCTGCAACCTTCAGAATCTGAGTGGCGTTGAGCCAAGAGTCGGTGCGGCGTTTCATCACAGCAACCCCATTCACCTCCATTTCGTAGACGGCGACATTAGAGTAGACAGCCTGTAGGAAAGGGCAAGCGTATATTAGCGGCTTTAGGAAGTAGTTGACCTGGGTAGATGCGCCGAGAGACTAACCTTGTAAATCTGAGGTTTGAATTCTTCATAAACAGTGCCATAACCATGCATGTCTTCAAAGGTACTGAAACTACCCCTAGGTCCATTGGGCAATCCATTGGCGTAGCTATAAGACATGGCCGACTGGTGTGAGGCTTTCGGAGGCGGAGTAGCTCGGGGGGTGGAGGCTACAGATTGAGAAGCGTTGAACGAGCCCATGTGCGACTGTGAAAAAGTCATGCCGTTGGCCGAGCCCATGCTGCTCTGCGAGTAGGACATCTGCAGAGTCGGACGCGGTGGGTGGTGGTTGTTGGAAGCCATTGTGTCCAGGTTACTGAATGTGTAGGGTGTCCAGCCCAGGTACCAGACCTGTTAAAGGCAGCTTAACGAGAAAAGATGTCAGTTTGAAGTCGAATTGTAGCCGTCCAGGCCAATGGCATGACAGATTCAGTATGTCAAACAAAAGAGTAAAAGCATGTGGGGAACTGCACCTATGCTGGGAGATCCTCTCGGCCTCGGAATTACTGGGCAGACCACGGGAAGTCGCGCAAGATTGAAGGGAGGCGCGTGGCTGGCGCTCCGACCGTGAAGGGGATGAAAGGGACCGGGGGAGGGGGGGGGGTTGTAGTCAGTCTGCAGGGAGGGATCAAAGCATGTAAACCCTTCCCGCTTCAGATAATATCTACATGAGACTCCAGATGATTAAGAGAGATTTGGCTTGTATAATAACAATAAATTCATTCACATGAGGAGGAAGAAGTCAAGTAAAGCTTCGCGGGGAAACTCTCGATGTTCGCCCGTCGCGTGCGCGGCTAACCTGAACCGTTTTCGCGTTTCGCCTTCAGAGAAAACAATCTACGGAGTACTATTACCCCTTTGGGACTTCCGCCTTTTTGACCGCCTTGATCTCAGCCGTACAACTCGAACAATCAAACAATATCAAACAACCCCGGGGAAAGAAAAGGATGTCGGCTAGAGAGCAACGAACTCCGCAAAAGCAAGAAAACAAGTCAATAATCAGTTCTTAACGATGCCAACGAAAATCACCCCTTTGTCGCCAGTCACGGTTCCCGCGGCGACATGGCGGCATCTCCTTCGATCACTCCTTCGCGAGGCATCCTATCTCCCCGACCCCGTCGCCAAAGGCTATATGCATCGCTATGTCCTCGGTCGGTTCCGACACTATGCGAACAACCCCAGCTTCGAAGAACGGAATGATCTATGGCAACGCTGGCGACTACGGAAGACAGCTATCAAGGGTCTGTCGGTACTACAAAGAGCCAATCAAGGTTATATGAAACCACTAGAGAAAGTCCTACGCATGGCATATGGTCGCACCGGGAGGCGGAGGAGGGAACTCATTCTAAGCCTCATTACTCGAACGACTCCGCCTTCGGAGCCGAAGCCGAAGTGTTTAGAAGATCTTCTGGCCAAGAATAGCATGACAGAGGACTGGAAACCGCCTAGGGTCGTTCAAGATCTGTTGAAGGCTCAGCTCCAGCAACCTTTGCTTCAATATCTCGATGCAGCCCCAAGAATCAAGGATTTTGAGCCGGTCATCCCCGAAAAGAATTCATGGGCTAGGCCGGTTCCACATTGCCGGCGAAGGAATATCAGAAAGAAATGGTACAGCAAAGTCTTGGCCAACCTCCTTCCACCAGTCCCACGCCGCGATCTAAAGATTCTTGAAGGTCTAATATCAGGCCAATTGCCATGGATGCCACCTAAAAGAAGGAAAGCCACTGGAACTACCCCTGCTCCTCCATCTGAGCCAGAGCTCGATGTTGCATTCTTGGTGAATGGCCCAAAGAAGGGTCAGACGTTCAAGCCCTATGCGGCCGGGCGACCTCATGTGTTCACACGTCGGTTCATGCTCAGAATCTGGATGCGCATCTCAAGTCTAATACCCCGCGTTCTCATAATCGAAGAAGCCGGGACTGGGGAAGTAAAGCACAGGTTTACATGGAAACGAGAATCTATGACCAGACCCACTCTTCCAGCGAGGAAAGACATTACAGCTGAGATCTTCGAGGGCGTCGATTCTCAGGGGAAATTGCTCGCAGGTCAATTGAAGCCCGAGCAGCAAGGCAACGATCAACCTCAAGACGCACCCGACGTCAAGATTCACTAACATACATACCACTTAAGACACTACTCAAGGGAATTGAATCACACCTTCAAAATTGCATCATACCCCGACAAATGGGTCTTGTGGATGCTTCACAGCAAGCGCACCTGCTAATCGCTCCTATGGATAACAATTTCGCAGGACCCGAAGTTGCCCAAACTCGTTGATGTATGGCTGACTTCCGGTCGCAACGATCCAGGGTCCGTTGACCGGCTTCTCTCGCTCGATCCCAAAGGGCCAGATCTCCTCCATGGTCAGGCGAAAATCATCCTTCGGCTCCCCATTCTTGATCCTCAACTTCTCGAAGAAGACATACGCCGCATAGAAGACTATGCCCGTGTTTCCCACGAGGGCGCCCTCTTGCTTGAGGGACACCTGCAGCAAACCGGGGATGATCGTCTTCTCGCCCCCAGGGAATGTCGCCTTGGCCGCATCCCTCAGGAACCCGGCCTTTGTGACACCGGGCTTGGCAACATGCTTCTGGATCATGTCCCTGACTCGATCACAAGTCTCAAACACGGGCACCTCAAGCTCCTCGTCCTCCTCATCCTCCAATTCAATACCAGAAACATCATACTCCGAGTTTCCATCCGCTGCACGACTACCTCTACCCTTCCCCGCCGTAGCCGCCGTAGCCGTCTTCGCCCTCTTCTTCGTAGCCGGCGCCACAGTAGAATTCCCCGAAACATCCCCAAAACCCGCTGCTGCTGCTGCTGCTGCTCCTGCTCCTGCCCATGCAGCATGACACCCCTACCCACCCTTCCCCCCTCCTCGAACCCCCGAAAGAACTCCCCCGCCTTGACAAACGTGACCGACCTCGCCCCTTTCTCGGGACCACTCTGACCCACAAAATCCCGATACGACTTCGCCGACACGCCGATCAGCCGTTGAAACTGCCCCGGCTGCATCTGCCGCGCGTCCAGAAAGTCCCGAATGTCCTGGCGGACCTCATCGCAGTTCTTGTTAACAGAAGACCGACCCCCGCGCGACGACCTGTTTTCCTTATCGTTGTCGTGGTGGTCATCCTCGGCGTCGACGTCGATAACGTCAAATTGCGCGTCGGTCGAGGAGCGTTTCTTCGTGCTCGCGCTCGTGCCTGTGACAGGGGCTTTGCGGCGGCGGTTGACGTTCAGCTCCGGGTTTAGGGCGGAGGAGACGAGGCGGGTGAAGACGTCTCTGTACGCTTCGGGGATGGCGGCGAGGCGGTCGGCGAGAGGGTCGTGGGAAGGCATGGTTGGTGGGTGGGTCGATATAAAAAGGTACTCCGTTCAGGGTTAACTTGGTATTTAGTTAGAAGGGGTTGGGGGAGATATTGGATAGCAAGAAAGGAATAAGAGATTTAAAAGAAGAAATAAGAATGGAAGTGATAAATACCGTCGTGTACGACGATATTTTTTTTGTTTTGTTTACTTTTCTTTTTTTCGAAAACGCCGTTTGGTGGTGACCTGTTCGCGTCTCAATGGGCCACCTAGAACCGGGCCACCGTGTGTGTACTAATGAATGGGTCACCTACTTCCGGAACACCCACGTAGTTCCGGAACACCGCGTTTTCCTGGGAAAGTATAGGACCCGGAAAGGCTTACCATGGTCATCCAGCGTATCAGGGTAAAAGTGTATTCATTGACTCGCAGGCACAGATAGCTCGGAACTCCCAATAGCAAGAAAAGAAAACAGGAATCATGTGCGCCTTTTCCTACCTAGTAAAAAAGAAACATTGAAGAATCAAACCATAGTGAATCCACATCACTGATCACCAAAGCCACGCGTCGCTTCTACCCAAGCCTCAGTTTCTCCAACAAACTCCCTGGCAGGCTCTTTGCCTTCTGCTCGCCCCTCCCCTGTGATATTGTACAAAATACAATGGGATATTATTGAAAAAAGAAAAGAAAGATGACACCACCTTTCAGCGTTCCTGCCCAGGTCATGACAGCAGTAAAAAGAACAGATATCATTAGATATTCTTCGCCACTCAAAAGACGTGTCCAACAATGCATGGCGTTTATGACGAAATGAAAAGATCTCATTACAAGTCCAAGGCCTTGTAGTCAGCCCCGGCCTCTGCGCTCAAGGGCTGCACCCCCCGGCTAGCATCAGCACCCGTAGGCTGGAAGTTGTACCGGTTTCCGATACCCGCCGTGGCGGCATCGGCGAGCAAGGCGTTGGTCTCCTCTCCGGGGCCCTTCAGACTGACCGATTGAAGAGTGTCTTGAACCTCCTTGACTCTCTTCTTGAAGGCCATTCGGTCCAAGAAGAGCTGCTGGCGAGCGAGCTCGAGTTCGCGGCGTTCAGCCTCAATGATCTCCTCCATTTCGTTGAACTGTGCCAACTTGATCTCGAACTTTTGTAGCGTCACGTTCACCGCAGCCGAGACCAGGCGGGTCATTTCCCGTTCTTCGTGAGACGCCAAGGCACCAGCGCGGGCAGCAGAGGCAGCCAGGGCAACAGTAGGGAGGGAAGCTTTGCCTTCCTTGTTGGCAACGGTGCTCTGGGCCGTCTCAGCGGCGGGTTCCTCGCGAGTAGCATCCACCTCCATGGAGTCTTCTGCCTTCACTGCACTTTCCTTCTCCTTGCCCTTCTCCTGGGTCTTCTCGGCTCCAGAACCCTTCTCAAGCTGCTTTCTGAGCTCCTTGCGAATTTCCTCCACCGAGCGACCAGCCGCGGCAGCGGCCACAGAAGGCTCGGCCATCTGGGCCAAGAACGCGACCACAGAAAGGACCGGATTCTCGGACTGGCTGATCGGATCGCGTCCAGCCGCCGCCCGGACCTCGGGGGTGTCGTCAAGGTACTTGTCCTCAATCTCGAGCTGCAGGAATTTCATCACGCACTCCTCCTTAGTCCTCGAGCCGACATGGTTGGCAATTTGTTCCCAGTTATCGTCAAAGTTCTCCAGACCCTCAAGAAGCAGGATGAGCTCCGAGTCAGACCACGGGGCATCTTTATCGGGGGCGATTGTGTAAGGGCTTTCTTCGAGTTTGACGAAATCGGAGGCATTGTGACTAGAAGGCATCCTGCCCTGTAGGAAACAGTTGGGGCAGAGGTCATACTTGCTATCAGATGCGGGGTTGGCGGTCGCCGGCGTCGATTTGGCGTAGTGGAATCTGAGGCGAGTGCAGTCGATACCGCATGAGAAGCAATGGAACTTCTTCCTTGGCTCCTTGCTGGCACTCTCCAATGCCTTGGTGGCATCAGCAGGGGTGCCGTTGGCTGCCGAGCCCTCACCGTTGGTCTGCTTCTCCTTGTCTTCGCTGGCAGGGGTAATCTCCTTGCCCTTATCGTCATAGACGTTACGGCGGATTTCGAGGTTGAGATCGGCCTTGGATGCAGGGGCAGCCGATGCTGCGCGATCGGTGGCGGGGAGAGGCTTGCCGGGCTTGACAAAGTGATTGGGACCGGGCTGGAAAGGCTGCAGACCCCTCGGCGTGTCGGCAACTACTCGGAAGTGACCCGTGAAAGGAGGACCGATATTCGATGGGCGTGTCTGAGGATCAACCTGGACATAATGTCAGCGTCAAATTGTGAGAAATCTGCAGCAAATACTCACTTGATAGTTGATCAAACCCCATTGTTCGAGGAAGGAGTGAACCCGCATGATTGCGCATACATCTCCGGCAAGATTCCGGCGGCATGCAGTGACTGTGAGGTATTCGATGGGGTTGAGTCTGTATGTGTTGATCATGAAATCACGGTAGTCCTTGTAGACCGCGGGGGTCTTGCTGCGGTTTCGACCGTTGAAGAATTCGGCGAGAGCTTTCTTCTCGATAGGGTGGATCAGGTGCATGTCGAACCAGGATGTATAGCTAGGAAGAATGATGGCATGGGTTTGTGAAACGAGATGTGAGCGCGCAGAGTTCTCGGCCGAAGCCTTGGACTGTGCAGGCTGCTCTTCCGCGGTGCCCTCTGCTCCTGATTGCGCAGCGACTTCGGCAATCTCATCACCCTCGCTTTCCTTCTTGGTTTCGGTCTCTGTACCGCCCATCTCCTCATCTTCGGGTTCGCCATCGGCAGTCTGGGGTTTCGGGGAAGCAGGGGCATCTAGCGGGTTATCAGTCCCTGGAGCTGTGGATAATTTTCGTTCTCAGTAGAACTTTCTTGCGACTGCGATCTCGCATCCCACGGTTGCGATGGTCGACATGTCCCGATTCGCTGCGGGAGCAGGGAGGCAACACTCACCGGAAGCACTGATCACGTCACCCGGAGCATCCTGAGCGGCGGTGCCCGCCTGAATATCATCGGCAGGACCGCTGGAAATGACAGGGCTGTCTTCCATATTTGTTGATCTGATGGCGGGAGATGACGGTTGATGTCGCAAGCAACGGAGAACAAGAGACCTTCGCGCTCCTCAAGCTTCAAGGGATTGGGTAATCGAAGTGCCGGTACGATCCCTAGTGCGGTGGTGCTTGGGATCCTAGAGATATCGAGGGAGTGGGAAGAAACCAGCGGGTGGTTATGACCACCAAGATAGCAACAAGTCGTGGGGAAGAAAGGTGGTTGCTTGGGAGCAGAGCGACTTGTCGCGACACGGGCCTCGCTCCAAAAACTCGCGCCAAGACCCTCTGGTGCGCTAGTCCCAGTACGCACTAGCTCGGTTGCCTCCATCGTCCTCCTCATCTATACGAGGGTTATGAGTAACTTGCAGTCATTTTCCAAAATAACTTGATGGTCATTTTGCATTCTATTAGATGCCGGTCCGTAGCTAGGCTTGCATTGCTTGACATCAAGTCGCCAGTATTGGTTGCTGGCTTGACAACACTTCTACGAAATGAGTACACCATATATCAACACGGCACCAAGGCCATTCCTACAGCGAACCTCTGGATACAATGGCAACTGTGATTCAGTGTATTGATACTCGCATAAACAGCATACAAATCAGCGCGCGCACGCTTCAAATCCCAAACCAAGCTCCAGGTCTATAGCCCAGTCCCTCCTCACTCCTATTTAGCAGCGAGACTCTCCCTGTACGTCTTCAGGCACTTCGCGATCGCAGGTCTCGCCTGCAGTCTCTGCAGCCAAGCGTTGACGTTGGGAAAGTCCTTCTCCAAATCAATGGCATCGCCAGTAGCCATGGGAATAATCTGGTACCACTGCACAAACGCAGCGTCTGCGTAGCTGTACTTTCCATCGACCAGGTACTCCCGGCCTTCGAGGACCTTGTCCAGCACGCCCGTCACGCGGCGGATCTCGTTCAGGTAGCGCTCTTGAGCACTGGTGATCTTCTCAGGATGGTAACGAGTGAACCAGATGAATTGACCGAAGTACGGCCCTTGTCCGGACATCTGGAAATGGAGCCATTGCTTGGCATGGAAGTAGCCCGGGGTGCCGGCCTTGGGGCTGATCTTGTTGTCTTTGTCGTAGGTCTCGATGAGGTATTCGATGATGGCACCAGACTCCCACAGGGTGATTCCGGTGTTGGGGTCTTCAATGGCGGGGACACGGCCATTGGGGTTGATGGAGATGAAGGGCTCCTTCTTGATGGTATCGAACGGCACATTTTTGTGCTCGAAGGGGATCTCGAGCTCTTCCAGGATCATAGCCACCTTCCAGGGGTTGGGGCCGCCTTGGTGGCCGTGGAGGATGATCGGCTTGAGAGACATCTTTGGGTAGCGGAAGAATGTGTGGTAAAAGATATTCGATTAAAGTAGTTGAGAGAATGTTATCTGGAGGATTGAAGCTGTTTGTGATGATAGGAGTCCATCTTGGTCAACACCCTGCGTGCCTTATATAGATATCTGAAGCGTTGAAGCTTCAGGACAACATATCCTTTTGGATATCCCTCATAATCTGTCACTTTCTAGAGTGACATAATGCATAGCTTTCGGGTCACCGCAAATGTGGATGTTGAAAAAGTCGCCGGCTCATGAGACAGGTTTCATTGCCGAATGTTCAACCGCTGACAAATGCACAGCAATGGACGTGCGTATACTTTACATTTCCATGGTAGGTGATGAGCGTTCTCCTCCAGGAGGAAACCTGTGCATAATTGAAGTAAGGAGTATGTCCCTTCGGTCAATTTGGTTCTACTTCATTTGTCAGGGAACGGTGTGTCGGGGTTATATGAGTCTGATCAGGTGGGGAGCTCGAGGTTGACAATACCCAATCCGGGCGCACTCGACATTCTAAGGAGAGCTGCATTAGAAATCAACATCTGTGGGGATGAGTGTTCATGAATGATCCCCACACATAGCTTGGAAGCGGTCAGCTTCGATGATCACAGAGCCACTTGTTCAAGGCAGTGTCTTGGTCAGCTACCACGACAACTAAGTTAACTAGGTTGCTAAACCGGTCCTGCTTACAATGCAGTCCTGCGCTGCCTTGCAGTCCTGCGCTGCCTTGCAGGTAACAATAAGCTGTGAGCACAGACATCCTCTTTGCTTACAGAGGCATGCATTATGGCTAAGCAATAGCAGTAAAGGGCCTTACGATAGCATGGTATACGAGTAGGTGCTTACGCTACACCATTGTATACTAACTTCTCTTCCTGCTTACAGGACAAAGATAAAGAGTGTTTGAATGAGTTGGATCTCGCGTGCCATGAGCTGCGAAGTCTGCATATAGACCTCTACACCCTGTTACCAAATAAGCTTCAAAAGGGTCGGTAGCTCAGTGGTATGAGCAAGAGATTGCAGATCTCGAGGTCGCGTGTTCGATCCACGCTCGGCCCTCAAAGCTTTCTTTTTATGGATCCTATTTGTCCTCTCAGTGTGGCTAGAGCTTCTTGCCATACGTGAAATTTTTGATTAATTGGCTTGCAGTAAGGAAGAAGTCCCCGGATGGTCGATCGATGCTGGCTTAGTGCCTAAATTAAAGAGACTTGTTTTTGACCTACCCTTGTCACTCTATAATAAATCCACTACTCGCATTTTGCTAGCGTCGCACGCCCTGGTGTATCTGCCCAGGGATTCATTCATCAGTATTGGATGCTATTGCCAAAGCTATATTTTGATTTATGATGTCAAAAATTGAGCCGCCAACCACAATTCGAGGGTCGGTAACTCAGGGGTAGAGTGTGGGACTGCAGATCTCACGGTCACGCGTTCAAATCGCGTTCGGCCCTTGTCTTCTTCTTTTTGGCCTGCTACCTCAAATTTTGTCAATCGGAAAAGAGACTCAACACTGAAAGCTTGTGTTGGCTTGATCTTTTTTTCTGTTTAGAGGACACCTAGTTCATCCCTGCACTTTTTGTTTATCATGTCATTCATTCTGCGAACCTTATTTGTGGCACTCCATGGAAGGAGCATGACATTCCTGTTACTGAAGAATCCGAAAATATATTCCATGCTGGGTATCGCAAAATGGTATAATGCACACAGAAATCACCCACCCAAACCACACTACATACTAGGAGCCAAGGACAGAACCTACGCCTTGCTCCTCGTGCATTGTTTCATCATCTAGCACCATACTATCAACCTCATGAACCTTTCCAGGACTCGAGCCTGGAGGCGAAATATCATACTGGACATCAGTGTTGCCTCCACTTGCGTCCACCCCAGCAGAACCCGAAAGAAAAGATTGCATATGTCCTTGCTCGAGACGTCGTCTTTTATTCCTGTTCTCAAGAATCTCGTCTTGCAAGTCAAAAGCATCGTGGCCATATTCCTCCCACTCGCTTCGGTAGAGTAATCGATCCCGCCAATCGAATAGATCATCCATCGACTTCCGCACACTAATCGGTCTTTTGCGCGGATCTGGCTTCATCTGACGCGGATCTTTTTCATTTTGCCCTTCGGTCTCGGCATGACCATATGATGGAGTAGGCGGAGGCGACCGACCAACTAGCTCCCACAGGTTAGACTCTTCAGCGCGGCTTGCTTCCCTGTCCACCTGTTCTGCGTATTCGTCCTCCGAGTCAAACGGAACCTCCTCAATGGGCTCTGGTGAAACTGCCTGACCAGAAATAGGAGGCTCGGATTCGTTACCGGCGTCTGAGCCCTGATCGTCAACCACCTGGCTCCCATCTCTACCCCTAGAAACGCTCCTCGCGATCGAGCCCGACTGGGAGGGCAATGGTTGCTTTCGAGATAGAATGTCCTCCACCTCGTCATAGTCCATTTGTATCGACTTCCAGCCCTTCACGTGTCGGTTATCCACAACATCAAGGGAGAGTCTCCGGGCGAGACCAACCCAAAAATCAGAGTTTTCTCGCTTCATGTTCAAGACGTCCAATGCTGTTCTGACATCGCGAGCCCTGACATCGCGAGCCCTAGCCCGACCGTCCTCTTCCACTTTTCGCAACCTTGCATCCGCAAAGAAGAGGGACGACTGTACCAACCGGCGCGTTAGACTCACAGCCAATGAATAGAAGTCGGCGAACGCATCCGCCGTCAGGGACGGGGTTTCGTCTGCGAAGGACAAACCACGCCAATTCTCATCCGACCGTGTGCCCCCGGAGTTCATGAAAAATCGCTCCGAGAGATTAACCCAGTTGCTCATCTTGAACAAGCTAGCCGTGAGATGCACACTGGATCGGTCGTAGACATCCCTATCCGGAGTATGGAGCTGTTCATCCCGAGTTCCTGTTTCCAGGTCTTGTGCTCCGTGGCCGTTTATATTTTCGGCTTCTTGATTAGCTGGATTTTCATCTTCCGCGAGTCGATGATCTGGATCGTCTGCTCTCGCTCGACGGTCGGCTTTTTCTGTTTTGGCTCGATGATCCAAATCCAAAGCTTTCTCATAATCGATGACCCAGAAATCGCGGTGCTTGTGCCTTCCAGTAACATCCTCATCCTGTTGCTCTTTCAAGCGCAGTAATTCGGCATAATGATCCAAGGTTCTGTGACATTCATTGCCAATCTCGGCGGCAGCGGGAACATCGGCCAGAATAATTGTTCGGCTATGCGATTGCGTCATATGGCGCTTTTGCAGACCGTTCTGTAAGAGTCTGAGATGTTCCTGCACTTCGATCTCCGACTTCGAGCCGAGCCTGCGGGCAACCTCGCGGATCCCTTCCCTCCCCTTCCGGTCCAAGCTGCGATATAAAACTCCCTTCTCCTGTGGATTCCAAACCACGACTCCATTCTGTGTAGAGTTATACCTCTCGGCGTCGGGGTCCGCAAGATCGGGCGTGTCATCATCGGCAAGTTGTTTTAACACATCGACATAGAGATCCACCGCTTTTCGTGGTAGCGTAGACTGCAGGTTATCGAGAGCTGAAGCTCGTGTGGTATTTTTGCGTGCCAACCCGCGGGGCTCCGCGTCTGTTCTCTCATCATGCGTCTTATCCAATGATGATGCTGATCGGGTATTCTCGTCGGGGTTGCAAACAGAGTCCGATGGATCATCGTCTACCGAATTGCTCATGATCGACTAGCTCACACCGGATGCGTAGGTGAAACGAATTCCAAACCATCGCCCCAGAGTTACATCAGAACCAGTAAAATGACCATCGGCGCAACCAAGGTGAGGAGCAAGTGAAGTTTAGGTGAGTGAAGGAATGACAGACAAGGTGACTTTTTTTTATCGGGGAAGATTTCTGATAAGAGCCCGTTTGCACTGTTTGCTTTCACCCGATAGATACTTTTTTTGTTCCCCGGAATTCTTTCCGTAGGCCTCTCTCGGTTCACACGCGGAAGGTTTATCGCTTTTCACTCCATGGCATCTGAATGGACCGTATTCGCCGGAAATTGGGATCGATTCCCATTTCAGTTGGGTTGAGGGCATTGAGGGCTCCCTGGACGCCTAATGTACGTATTGCATTCGTGCGCCACGGGTCTGCTGTAGCATACGCCGATGAAGCACCTGCAGCAGCAGCTCCCGAACCGCCTGGGATTGTCCTTCGGGACTACCAGGAGGAATGCATCCAGTCGGTCTTGGATCACCTGAAGCAGGGCCACAAGCGTCTGGGGATTTCACTTGCAACTGGCGCGGGCAAAACGGTTCGTTTGACAAGAACGTTGAGAATAGAGCTAGAGCCTTAGACTGACTGGCGAGCCATCAGGTCATCTTCACCCAGCTCATCGGACGCGTTCCGCCGCGCAATGGAAAGCACGACAAAGCGCTGATCCTCGTCCATCGAAGGGAGCTCGTCGAACAAGCTGCCCGGCATTGTCGACTTGCCTATCCCGACCGAACCGTCGAGATTGAGATGGGCAATACCGTGGCAACCGGACATGGGGACATAATCATCGCGTCGGTGCGGAGTCTAACGTCGAAGGACCGGATCGAGAAATTCAACCCCGCACATTTCAAGCTGATCCTGGTCGACGAGGCGCATCATATCGTCGCGCCCACCTATCGCACCGCATTGGCTCATTTCGACCTCAACGAAGCTTCGTCCAATTCTCCCGTTCTTGTTGGGGTGTCGGCCACGTTCTCACGCTTCGATGGCCTCAAGCTCGGCGCCGCCATTGATCACATCGTGTATCACAAGGATTATATGGATATGATTGACGAGAACTGGCTTTCGAATGCCGTGTTCACGACCGTTCGCTCCCAAGTTGACCTAGCGAGGGTCAAGAAAGACAAATTCGGCGATTTCGCCGTCGGCTCCCTCTCCGAAGCAGTCAACACGGATAAAACCAACGACATTACGGTGCGAGCATGGCTAGCCAATGCGGAAGGCCGCAAGTCTACCTTGGTATTCTGCGTGGATCTGGCGCACACTAAAGAGCTCACGGCGAAATTCCGGAGTCTGGGTATCGATGCCAGATATATCACGTCGCAAACCCCCAAGGATGTCCGCGATGAGCAGCTGCGCAGCTTCAGGAACCTGGAGTATCCGGTGCTTCTGAACTGTGGACTCTTCACCGAGGGCACTGACATACCTAATATTGATTGTGTACTACTTGCAAGACCGACCCGTTCTCGCAATCTCTTAATTCAGATGATTGGAAGAGGGCTGCGGTTGTTTCCTGGCAAGAAAGACTGCCATATAATCGATATGGTGGCCACACTCGAAACTGGCGTCATTTCCACACCGACTCTTTTCGGACTACACCCGGATGAAATACTGGAGAAGACAAAAGTGAAGGATATCAAAGAGAAAAAAGACGACGAGAACAACAATTACCGAGAGCAGCCAGACTCAAAGCTCCCGGATTCCTATGCCGAGGACCCTGCTCAATCGGGCAACATCAAGCTCACCTTCACCAAGTATGACACGATCTATGACCTCATCAATGACATGAAATCCGATAGACATATTCGCTCTCTGAGCCGCTACGCCTGGGTTCGGGTCGCCGAGCATCGATACGTTCTCTCCGGCACAGCGGGATGGCTCACCATTGAGAAAGAGTCGGAGCGGCAGCCTGAAGAATGGACAGTGCACCATGTCCTGCAATACGGATTATCCCAAGAGGTTAGAAAATATGCCCGACCTCGTCTTATCGCCTCCGTAGCGGACTTTGAAGCGGCCGTTCGCGCTGCGGACACATTCGCTGGTGCTGAGTTCGAGGAGCGATACATCTCTGCCCATCAGCCATGGCGTCGGCAACCGGCCACGCCGCCTCAGCTTGAGAGGCTTAACAAGGCCAAGATCCGTGATGGTACAATTACGGCCAAGGATATCACCCGAGGACAGGCGGCGGATATCATCACGAAGCTAAGGCACGGTGGCAAGAAGCGATTTGCTAAGAAGATCAAGGAACGACAGGTCGCAGCAGATAAGGCTCGAGAATTTGAGGATCTGAAGAGAAGGACAGAGGTGAAGGTCGGGCCCTTGGAAAATTAAGAAGATCGGCAGTGTGATGATTGATCTATTTGTCTTTGGTTACACGCCCAGGACTATAGGGTTCATCTACATCGAGTCATGCGATGACAAGTCCCGTGATGTTGACCAAGAGAGCTTCTAGCGAGCTAGTCAAATGAATTTGGACGGGGCATATCCCAAGTAATTTAATGCTATACTCGAGCACTGTACTACTCTCTAGCCGAAGATAGCCGGGAGTATGGCATGTTTTGCCCACTTTGCCGTGTTTGAAGAATTGGCTGTAGTAACCACCGCTCCGCACCTTCATCTGAGCCCTTCGACCCGCCTCCCCGGGACATATTCATCTCCCTCCTCATCCCTCCCCCCTCTCCCCGGCTCAAACAGTCTTAAACGCCCCATACATGGAAACGAGAATACTACTCGACCAGAGCAGTCCCATACTCCATACAGGAATGATAGTACATGCTCACATAAGCCCCTTTCTCCTCCGTATACGCGAGAGACACGATGCTGTGAATCCGAGTGGTTTGGCTCAGATCCTCATGCGCACTGCAACCCCGTCAGCACAGACACTGGACGGAAGAACCAGGAAAGGGAGGGAAACCAGAATCAAAAGACCGGAGGAAACTCACAAGACATACTGCAGGTCATCGACGTAAGTGTTCGCCTTATCCTCCCATCCGAGTGACTGGAAGAACCGGGCCAGAGCCTTGGCCACAAACAAGTCGTTCTTCCGATGCAACGACAGGTACATCTTGGGGAGAGGCGTCTCGCGATCCGGATGGGTCTCATAGTTCCACGCCAGAACGAGGAGCTGCCTGGCCAAACAGTCCCGCCGGTGGGTTTCCTGCTCCTCTTCCGAATCCTGAGCCAGATGGCGCCCACAGCAGCAAATCCCCGCCTCGTCATCTTCCTCCAGGTACGCCCACAGCCGACGCAGCAGCTCCAGACCCTTCTCGCACCACGATCCCCCCTGCGCCTTCCCGCCCAGCGTCCACACATGCTCCGCCTTCTTCAGACTAGGAGGCTCCTCGCCGCCACAGAGCCCGTAGAGCTTCAACCTCGACGTCGCCGCATCGGCATAATCCCACCCTAAAAAGTTGAACTCCGTGAAATGCTTGCCGGCCTCCATATATTCGACCGCCATCCGCGCCGCAGCCACATTTCCGGCTCCGGTCCGCGCGTGCATGCGTTCCAGACACTCGAGGACGGTTGCTCCCAGAGCCTCCGGGGCGAGTTTCCACCGGACGCCCAGGAACGCATAGCCCTTGGCTGCAATCGCGCCGGCCGACAGGAAATCAAACCCCATGCAGTAGGTGCCTTGCACCGAGTGGGGTGTGAATGCGTAGTCGCGCACGAGCCGTTGCTCCTCCTCGCCGGAGATGGCGAAGTAGCCCATGATCTGCCGGTGCAACTCCATATCAAAGGCCCCCAGCCCCTGTGCTGCCACCTGGGCGGAGATCTGCGCGGCCGCCACCTGGTTGAAGCGGTCATGGGCCGTGTCTGTCATCGGACCAATGGGTTCCATGGTGAGACGCACGGTCGACGTCGACGCGGAGCCCTTGCCCTGGAAATTGAGGCTCATCTCGAACGGGTGGCCCGTGATGGTTAGCAGGCTCCGCCACTGATGCGGGTACGGGCCTAAAAAGGGTACGAGCTGATTGCGAAGGAAGAGGAGGTATTGGTATTGTTGCGATAGAGGGTAGTGTGCGACCTGGAGGAGGCGGCCCATGAGAGGGGCGATGTTCTTCCACCACTTCAGCTCGTTGGGGTTTGGAGACTGCGTGGGATATTGAACGATGATGTCCCATGGGTTGTCGGAGGCGTTGCTCTTGGGGGTTTGTGTCCTACGAGCATCACGGAGTGTGGTATCCATCTCTGGCTGTGATTCCGGCAATGGAGGTACCGGGAGCGTGACTGTATCCTGCGACTGGTCTGTTGCTGCCATACTGAATCGATGTAGAGGTAGGTGGCATCTGCTGGCAGGTAAGCGGTCTTCCAAGATCAGCTGGGTATATATAGTCTCAAGATGCTATTCTACAAACTGCAAAAACAGCCCCTAGTTTTCAAATCTGCCTGTCATGAAACATATCAAGGGTGAGTGTCGTACGCCAGCGAACTGCGTCAACGAAACGCCAGGTTTTATAAACCACATCGAACGCTTTCCTGCTCTGATGGCACCCGAGAAGTGTCCTAACTTCGTCACGGGACCTGTCCAGCACAATCCCTCGAGATATACTCCGAAGTCCGCTTCCCCTGGCTTGACATGTTCCACCACTAGCATGGCAAAAGTCTGACAAACGTAACCCTGGCCTCGACGAATAACCTCAGTATTCCTTCCGACGCAATCAGCAACCAGCCAAAGGAGAAGGAGACCCTGGCAGCAAGCCCTCATCAACAGTAATTGCACTAGAGCAACTGCTCAAATATGACAGAGCCCCCAAAATGTGTCATCAATGGTCAATGCTGAGTTGCCATGAACATCCCGTCCCGTGAACACAATGCTTATCCGGTGACACAACCCCAGGCATCATCAAACGGCTATCCACGAATCAAGCAATAAACATGACCATGCAACATTTGCTTCAAAATGCTACCCCTGACAATCAGCATAAGACATATCCCACAAGAACCAATCAAACTTACTGTCGCACGCCCGTCGAGCCTCCTTATCATTACTTTGAAGGACTATGCCCTGGTAGTTCTAATCAGTCCGAACAACTAGCTTTGTAGCTACTTCTCCGAAGTCCAGAACTTATCTGATCTGCAACGCCTACCGAATTTCGGCTCCAGGGCTCCCGGTCGCCGCGAGTGGCCAGCGGACAACCCTAGCATCGTCAAACAGTCATCCACATATCCAGCAATGACTATAACGATACAACATTTGAGTAGAAATGCTACCCCTGGAGATCTCCATAATACGTATCCCAGGAGAACCAATCAAACATGCTATCAAACGTCCGTCGAGTCTCTTTACCCTTACCTAGAGGATTATGTCCAGGCAGGGCTCCCATATCAGCCGGAAGCAAGTCAAGGTAGCTGGAACCGTTGAGTTCTTCTACCTCTACGCGAGTGCGCTCGTGATCGTGCCATTCACACGGCGGACCTTCCGTTCCAGTGGAAGCGGAGTGAACATTCCTCGCCAGCTGCAAGAAGGTAGCCGCAACATGCTCGAGCCTGATACACAGCGTCGCCAGGAGACGCATTTGCGAGCGCATGCTTGCGAAATACGTCACCGTTGTCGCGAGAAGGTTCAGATCGTGTTCAACGGTAGGTGTCATAGGGCCTGGATGGTGCACGATATTCTCAAAAATGACGAAGAAAGAAGTGAAGGGGTAGTAAAGAAGATGCCTTTTTTCCCGATTAGTGGTTAGTTTGACTAGAAATTCTGAGCAGGACGCAGGTGTGTTTTACCAGATAACGCCGTTGTATACAGAGTTCCAATTGGAGACCATTGACGTCAGAAGGGATAGGGCTTCGCGGGCGGACGATAGACGCAGACTTGACGAAAACTCCTCGCCTTTTAGCAGCAGGATCAGCACGTGCAGGTACTGGAACTTCATGCTGTTGATGCCGAGAGCCATCTCCCGGACTTGGTCTGCTGTGGATGAGGCTCTCTCAAATTCCAGGATTTCTGCCATACGCTGTCTTAGGGTGAGAGAATTTCTTTGAAATGAGAGATGGGTGGATACTAACCTGGTTAGAGTACGAGTACCAAGCATTCAGCTTGGATCGTAGTTCCATGCGCGAGTAGATTGCGGAGTGACCAGTAGCAAGGATATCCGCAAGGATTCCCATCAGCTTTGCTAGTTCGATAGAACAACGAAGCATCTGTGCACCGAAGTGAGAGACTCGTTGGGGGATCTCTGTACCGTGCATACGAGTATGAGGCTGGAACATGAGCAAGGTACTTTCGTTCGGCAGAGGAACATGGTGATACAAAGGGGTGGGCAAGAAGACAGGGCGGCCGAAGGCAAGAGAGCAGGATTTGTCCATCAAGAAGAGAAGCCAGAAGAGACACAGTTGATGCTGTCGCGATTCAGACGAGCCTTGAGGACCAGATATATGCATGCCGAGCGCTTCCGCCTGCCTGCATGCGCTGCCGAGCAACATCCACGAGGTATTGGGCGCGGCGTAGTCCTCGCCATGCATAGCTAGAAAGGCTAGTACTTGCACGTTGACCTCGCGCGGCTCGAGGAAGATGCTGCTGTTGCTGAGGGCCAAATGCACGTTTCGACGTAACACTGCCCCTTCCTCGCTATCCTCCTCGACGGGCACGGCTGCCAACAGCATGTAGTTGAAGTAGACGACCCAAGCCTTTTCCTGTACCCTGTGTGGTTCAAAGACAACTTGCACCATGACTTCATCCGGCGGACTGATGAAAAATGGTTTGCCAACGTCAGCTATCTGAAAGAATCCTGGTCATCCCGCGTCGATGTTAGTTATAAGTTCAAAGTATGAAGCACGAATCGGGTAGCCATACGACTGATCATTCGGTAGCCCGTTGCTTTGGAGGGTACATGAAAGACTGCTGCACTTTTTTCAGTCATCTGCTCAACGTGACTAGTACCTAGCTGGCTAGATAGATATCGAAGCTCGGAGCGGGCACTCAGGTGAGTGGCATCACTCGGTGGTCGGGGTATCTTCTCGATGCTTGCTGACGCCTCTCGCAAGAATGAGAATGAATGCGACGGGCCGATGTAGAGCATGGGATTAGAACGATCTTTCTCAACCACAGTTCTTTGGTCAGTGTCGGATGGTGGCCTCGGATCATCGGTCCGAGCGGGTGCAGAGGCAATGACTTGTAAGGCTTTATCGACGGACTTGGACAGTTGCTGTACTAGCTCCTCAAGATCTTGTAGTCGACTCTCTATGGTACGCTCATCAGCTGACGCAGCACCCAAAGAGCTTGACAACATTCGTGATTAGTTTCCATGTTACATAGACTCAATTGTGGCTGACTGACTTGACGTCGAATGTATCTCTCGAATAGATGCACTCGCCTGGCCATGGCTTGCAAGTATTGCATTTCGGCAGCTCCCGGGAACATCTGCACTCCTTTAATCAGGGGTCGAAAGCATGCGAGCATATGTAAGCTTACTTTAGCTTCTTTTGCCTGCAAAAGTCACACTGTGCATGTCAGTGGCGTGTTTTCCGGTGGCGGTCAATCTACAGTACTGCTTACCGCAAACTGGGCTAACCTGCGTTGCATGGTAAAAGCACCTGACTGGTTGGTCCCGGAAGAAGATTCGGACTAGCTAGCCTGATATGTTCCAGGTAATTCGAAGCAAAAACCGAGAATTCAATGTAAGAATGGCCGTCGGCGATGCAAAGTCCGAGATGATCGTCCTTTGGTTCGGAGCCTCCGGAGTGAGCCAATCAGACGGCTCGAACGGACACTCCGCGGCCCATAGATGCGGAATCGCGACAATGAGGGATATAAGTATCAGTGCCTCATGACGACTGTCTATTTGAAGTAGAATGTCAATAATAATTCAATCAAACCTCCCTTCGTGACAGAGGACACTTCTCGCCTTGAATTTCTGCATTGTATCTTTGCCGCATACATTCATACCAAAACTATGAACCCAACCCCGTCCATTGCAATCATCGGCGGCGGACCAAGTGGTCTCCTCTTCGCTCGCCTTCTCGAGATCAACGGGATCACCGACTACGTCGTGTACGAGCGCGATGAGTCCGCTATTCCAAGTCCGTGGCAGCAAGGAGGCACACTTGACCTCCGCCCCTCCTCAGGTCAACTGGCGCTCCGCCGCGCCGACCTGTTCGATCAGTTCAGCAAGTTCGCTCGCTGGGATGCTTCGTGCTTTCATATGCTCTACCCAGACGGGACTACCGCAATCCGCCATGACCAGGAAAGAGATGCTCCCGAGATCGACCGTCTGCACCTCCGTCAGCTGCTCCTGGAGTCGATTCCGGCGCACAAGATCCGGTGGGGTCATGCTGTCAGGGCCGTCGAAAGGAGAGAAGCCGATGGCAGTCAAGCTGGTAGTGAAGATGGTGATATAGTCATTCATTTCCTGAATGGAACCATTGCGTCTGGATTTCGGTTGGTAGTGGGGGCAGACGGGGCTTGGAGTAAAGTGCGCCCTTTGGTGAGTCTTTCGAGTACACAAAAGTTCCTCCCGATCGGAAGACATGCCCTGTCATTTTTGTCAAACGGTCCTCTACCCTTTATTTCTAACGTCAATGCAGATAACGGCAGCGAAGCCCGTATACTCAGGCAAAATGTTCATCGAAGGCCGCTTAACACATGACAACCCTGGCTACGCCATCGCCAAAGAGCTCGTGGGCCCCGGAAGCATGTTCGCAGCCGGGCACCACAAGAAGCTGGCCGTGCAGCGAGTCTCAAACGGTACATACCGTGTATACTTCGGGCTGCAAGCCCCCGAAGACTTCTATCACCACCGCGAGTGCAGCAGCGGACCCTCCGGGGACGAAGATCGCAACAACCGCACGGAGCAACTGCGCAGCCTGCTACTCTTGTCGGACGAATACTTTGCCACCTGGGGGCCGCAGCTGAGAAAGTTCGTCGAGACCGCGGAGGGGCCCTTCCGTGCCTGGCCGCTGTATCGGATGGACCCCGAGAAGCTTTGCTGGAGTGGAAAGACCCCCGGGTTAACGTTGCTGGGGGATGCAGCGCATGTCTCGACACCATTTGTGGGAGAAGGTGTCAATTGCAGCTTGTATGACGCTGTCGTGCTGGCTGATAGCATTGTCAAGCATTGCGGTGACGGTGCGGGATTCGATAGTTCGAGTGCAGAAAAGTTGAACCGTGCTCTAGAGGAATATGAGGAAGACATGTTAGCGCGAGGACGAGATCTGATTGAGCGCAGCACGGCGATGGAGAAGGTATTCTTCTCTGAGGACGCGGTGACAGGAGTTCTCGAGTTCTTCAAGAGTTTCAGTGAGAAGTCTGAGTAGAGACATGGGTGGATGTTTGAGGCCTGGTCCTCTCCTCGGGGTGCTTCAAGAAGGAATGGTTCCATTAGCTGGGATCAAGGGTGAATGCATAGTATGTGTATGATGTGCAATTGGGTAGTCGGTAGAAACACTGACCTTCTCTGGAAGGCGAGACGCGGAAACCACCACCATGTTCGTGTCTGGCCTGAGAGATAAGGCAATCAATATCAGGATAGTTACATGGGAGATGACCACAGCGGACTCTTCCTTCCCAATGGGACTTCCCAGGAAAACTAAGACACTGCGGACCGAAATGCACTAATTCTTCGATCACTGCTTTCTTGGACACTCACACACCGATTATCAATCATCCCAACAAGCTAGAATTGATTATCCTTTAACCCTGTTACCTATTCTACCAATTTAGACCTCAATGACAAGCAACAGAGCACAAAAGAAAATGCCCAAGCGAGCCGCTTCCCAGGACAATGCCGGGGTGTGAGCAGCGTCCCCTCCTCTCCCCAGTTCCACAGATTCGCTAACCACACGCAAAAAACGCACCAGGCAACCAAAGCGTCCCAAACCATCCATAGCATGGATCAAAGTACTGGTAGGCCCGCGAGGCACGATGCATCGGATCCCCGAACGAAAAGCCCGTTCGTCATCGGAGTTCTTCGACAAAGCACTGGCGGGGACATGGAAAGAAGGCACGCAGCGTACTGTCAGGCTTCCCGACGTCGACCCCCGTACCTTCGGAAAGTAATTCTGGTGGCTCTACCATCCAACCTATACTCCCAGTTCCGAGTTCAAAGACCTTGTCAAGGCGTATATCCTGGCTGACAAGCTCATGGACAACAATTTCGGGAATCAGTTAATCAATGCGATTGTGACACGGTTAACTGGTGGCAGCGGCGGATATCGCTCTCCTCCTTCCAAGGAGGAGATGGAGTTCGTGTGGCGGGCGTTACCTCCCCTGACGCCGCTCTACCGGCTGCTGGTAGATTTCGAAGTCCACGTTGGTCCATTCGCATCGAGTTGGTTGAAGGACAACGGTGTGGACAAGGGGTTTTCGGCTCTGGATGGTGAAAAGCTGAGCCGAGAAGACTGGCTGACTCGGCGGTTCATGCTGCAGGTCATGTCTACGGCGATGACTCGGTTTTGCGTCTAGTCGACCTCAACCATTCCAGATAAGTGCATCGGATTACCACCGAGCTGTGGGCGGTGGTGAGACCACCTGATATGGCTTGTCACTCTGCTCTCGCCTCAAATAACTCCATAGATATCATAGATAGTCCCTACCAACTGAAAGCATCATGCACCATGCAATAAGACATGCCCTGACACAGACTACAACCTCACACCACCACCCTCCTCTCCCTAAACTGGATATACGGTCCATTCTTCTTGCTAGTAAAGCACCAATCGGTGTGATACTCACCCACTCTGACCCCCTTCCCCTCCCCGACCTTCTCCAACTCCCCAGCCGCAGCCCGCAAATCAACCCGCCAGAGAATCCTCGCCAGCACCACCGTAAACTCAATCATGGCCAGTCTCTTCCCCACACACGACCTCGGCCCCGCCGAGAACGGTGCGAACTCACTCGGATCCACCCCCTTTCCGCCGGTCGAACTCGCCAGCCACCTCTCCGGACGAAAGCCGAACGGATCCGGGAAGTACGTCGCGATATGATGGAGGGGGTAGATGCCTGCTCCAACTTCCATGCCCGCCGGGACAAATTCCCCGTCGACCATCGCTTCACCAGGCAGGACCTCGCGCCAGAGCGCGCCCGCCACGGAGGGCGTCAGCCGCATGGCCTCGTCGATACAGGCACGGAAGTAACTGCAGGAGGCGAGGGTGGGGCTTCCGGGGCGGATGTCGATGATGGACGTGAATGCACGGCGGATCTCGTGAGTGGCTTGACTCAATGCCCTGGGGCAGCGCGAGAGGTAGAAGAATGCTGCTGCCATCGCCGTGGAGGTTGTATCCGAGCCTTGGGGGCGATATATCAGCTGAAAACACCGGCACTGCGTTAAGAGGGAGGGGGGAAGAGAACACCCACCAGCAACAATCAACAGATTACTCTCCGCCCACAGTTCCTGGAATGGAAACCCCTCGCCCGTCTCCGGGTCCTTCGCGGACAGCAGCTTGGTGCAAATATCCGCGGCCCACGGATTCGGATGTCGCTTGCGATCCTCCATGATCGAGCGACCGGCCTGCGAGAAGCGGAGGGCCTTGGCCATGGCTCCTGGGTAGAGAAAGCGGCCGAGGTGGAGTTTCTCGATCAGCGGCTCTTCGGTCAGCAGGGACATGCGCCGCATTTGGGACATGATCCCATCGAGGATGTAGTGGTGGGTGTTCGTTTCGAGGGTGTTGAAGGAACGGCTGAAGACGAGCTCGGTCATGACGTCGAACGTGTAGAAGTCGCCTTGTCCGTGGAGTCAGTAAGTACCAGAATCTGGGACAGAGTTGAGAGGACGAACTCCATTCCGCCATGTTCTTTGGACACGTCCATCCATCTTCCGTGTCACTGGCGACTTCTGGACTGAAGTTGTCCTGCTTCTCGCTCAAGCGGTCACATAGGTGGTCAACAACTTTGAGCAATGAAGCTTCCAGCGTTTCAGATTCTGGTCGGAGAGGCCTTGGCTTAGAATGCGACGTTTTCTGCCGTGGACTTTCTTGTCGACGACGTTTAGGGTGCTGTAGGCGCCTTTGATGAGGGGGATGCTGCGGTAGGACTGGCTTTTATGGACATTCTTGCCGAAATCGTAGATGTCTGGTCAGTGTCAGTCATGCTCGGCTGGTTTCAGTTGGCAAATAGTGCCTTACCGTGGAACCCAGTGCTGGAGGCAAAGACAATGCGGTGTGGAGCGTAACGAACGATAGGCCCTGTTCCGATACTTAGTAACTTAAGAGGAAGAAAGAATGCTCAGCAGAGAAGGCACCATATTTCTGATGACACCGCCAAATATCAACATGGAGATCCCCCGACTTGCCGTGGTATACAGCCCTCCATGTTGTGATTTTGGCGAAGAAAGGGCCCGGATATTTGGCCAATGGGTGGAAGTACAGTCGGTAGATACAGATGCCGACGATCTGTTGGTGAATGAGCAATTGCAATTGACGAAAGAGTCGTATAGGCCAGGGCTGTGACTCACGTAGATAATCCCCGCGAAGAGACTCCAGCCACCTAACCGGAAAAGAAGATGCTGGACGTTTGCGAGGAAGGAAACCATGATTAACCAACCACAGTTGTAGTGGAATAGGCCCGCCAGCACGGATACTCTTGAATGATGGAGGAGGCACAAAACCTACCTTTCAGGGTAGCTTTGGTCTTAAGCAAGTTCATCACCACTTGGCCCATCAACCACGTTATAATCAACGGAGTTTCCCCCTCTGTCGGCTAAACATGACTTGACTGACTCAAACAAGGGTCATCAATCAACATGGTTCTTTGCAAGCTGCATGCACTGGTGACCAGAATCACAGCCAATGAGGCCTGTCCACCACCCCAATTAACCCACCGTTCCTAGTGGAGTCATCAGGACAGCTGCCAAGGCATTGATGAAGTATGTGCATTGCCTATTGGATTCGGTTGGTGCCGTCAGCAGTGGTCGTGTCGGAGATAAGGAAGAAGCATGTGCAGGGGTGAGATGAAGATACGGGTTGTTTTGTAACTCAATGGTTATTTACAGTTTGTTGAAAGAGAAGGCTTATTTTTAGGTATGTGAAACTTGGAGGTAATCATGGGAAACGACAAGACTACTTCATTTACTCAACGACTGCATGAAAACCACGGAATTTGCTCGCCTGTCTATCGAATGATTCCCGGGTGCAAGCAAAAAGTGTAAAAAAATCTCCCCGACTGGGAGTCGAACCCAGGTCTCCCGCGCTTGTTCCCGAGTGGGATTGACAAGCGGAAATCATGACCGTTAGACCATCGAGGAATGGAGATGTCTTCTTTCTGACATCACAACAATACAACGTTAATATCAAAAGCTCGCGCAAGTATCACCCTCCTAATACCACGGTTCAATGAACCCTGATCTTCTTCCTCTCCATAAACAGAGTCAAAACAAAACAAAAGCACCCAGCCACCAGGGACTCGATAAAGACCCGGCTGATTGCACGTACAATCGCCCCCAAGACCTGCTGCTGTTCTGACTCGTCCATGCTTTCTAGAAGGCTACTTCCAATCCCGGAGGTCAGGCTCTGAATCTGCGTATGATTCATCGAGGGAAAGAGTGCTTGGATCCTGTTCTGTGCCAGATTCAGGAACATGGAGTTGCCAATAGATAATGCAATGGCAAGCCCTCCACCTCTCGCACACATGATGAAGCCAACGGCGTTGGAGATCTCCTGGGGCGGGACCAGGACCTGGGCTAGGGCAAATGGGGCGTTCAGGTACATTCTGTGCCGATGCCGTTGATGACCATGGCGCCGTAGATGAAGGCGTTGGACGTGGAAAGGTCGATATGCATTAACATGGCGTTGGCCGCGATGACTAGCGCAGACCCGATGGCATACCAGGGGATGCAATAGCCCCACCGGACCATGAGATGGCCGTTCAGGAGAGTGAAGACGGCTAAGGCGCCAATGGAGGGCAGCAGCCGTACCCCTGCCAGCAGAGACGAGCTATGCTGCACAAACTGGAAATAGAGGGGGATGAAGTATATGGTCACAAAGGATGAAGTGCCGGCGGCTGCCCTTATCAGGAATTGTACCACAAGATCCTTTCTTTTCAGAAAATGGACGGGAAACATCCGGTGCTGAGGATTCGACCAGACCTGGTGAGCTCCTAGGATGATGAACAGAACACCCGAGAAACAGAAAAGTGCGATCTCGCGACCGCTGTTCCACGCAAAGGTTGCGCCGCCAAAAGAGATAGCCATAAGCAGGGAAATGTAGGCCCCAACCATGAATACATTGCCCACCCAATCAATGGCCTTCAACCTCTCCCAAAGCTTCACCCCTGGACGAAGGTCACGGGATGGAAGAAGGAGGAAATATGCTGGAGAGAAAGCACCCCCGATGCATAGGTTAATGTAGAAAGCCCATCGCCACGTTGCGGATTCATGGTCTGCAAAGGCGCCTCCGATGACGGGCCCGAGTCTTCTCGCAGGATTAGCCCGTGTTGCTACACGCTTGTTTGGCCGGAGAATGAACTCACACCGTCCCGATACCGAACACTGCTCCGATGACCTCAATATACTTTGGGCGCTCCGTCAGGGTGGTGAAAATAGACAGCATCATCATGACTCCGAGATACATGCCGCCACCCCCTAAACCGGCTATCGCCCGTCCGACGATGAGACAATCCATGTTTGGCGCCGCGCCGCAGACGGCAGACCCGACCTCAAAGATACCGACACATAGCACGTATATCCATTTTGGGTTGAACTGACCGTATGCACGTCCCCTGCAAGCGTGGTTGTAAGATAGTTAAAGAGCAAAGCCAGAGGGAACTTTCGTACCAGAAGAGATTTGTATTTGCCGACCCTAGAAGGAACGCCACAGACAGCCAGGGAAGCTTGTCAATCGAATCAAAGTCGTAGATGATATTTGGCTGCACGTCTGCGACAATTGTCTGGTCAAGTGCATATAGAAACACACTTGACAGGATAGCAATAACTAGCCATAGGTTGTTCAATTTAATTCCATCCGTAAAGATAGAAGGACAACATACCAGCGAAAGCCCATTTGATACCGTGGACATCCCGTGCAGGAGGTGCAGCAGGAGGTGCAGGTGAAGCAGAAGATGGGGGTGATGAGGCCGTCACAGTATCAGTTGAACTCAAATCATGATGTGTTTGTTTCTCCTCGTCCGACTCTTTCTCCCCATGCGAGAGTGTTAGTGTCCCTGGGTTGGTCCAACTTGCGGGAGGCTTCGGCTGATGAAACTCCAATGTAGTTCTTGAAGTCTCAGACATGATTGTAGATGATGAATAGCCAACAATAGCAGACTGAGATGTCTTTCTGATTGAAATGGCGTGAAGGAGCACCGAGATAAGGCCGGCCAGCTTCTCAAGGCATTTCAATAGAGCTGGGGGTGTGGTATTTGCTTCAAGCGCACAACTAGGTAGTATTCATAATCCATTGTAGTACCCGCAAAGTGCTTATGTTCGACTCGAATAAAGGTAACCCATGAACAAGGTGTTCAGGAGTTCTGCCCAAGAGTTCAATGCGCAAAGGACGGAGGATGGATGGTGATGGATGACAGTAGGAGAAGGAAGGCAGCCGGAATTACGGAGTTGAGCGCTACAAAATCAGCAGCCCAGCGTCGCGTCACGTCACGCTCCTGGCGTATTTCCCAAACGTCAATTTCCCTGCCTGGTATTTGCGTTTTCAGAGTCCGAAAAGGTAGTTTACGATCACATTTCTGCCTGCCTCACTCACTCTCTCCACCCAGCGGTGGTTCAGTATAAGTGACGACCACGACCATACAATGTGACATTGTCCTACAACCCGACTCTCATCCCCAAAGAACATGGCACTCGACGGCATCGCAGTAGTCACCGGCGCAGGCAGCGGTATAGGCCGCGAGATTGCCCTCGCCTACGCCGCCGCCGGAGCAGCAGGCGTCGCACTCGCCGACCTCCACCCGCAGAACGCAGAGCAAGTCGCCATCGAGAGCAGGGCCACCGCCACCAATCCCGACTTCCGGACTCTGGTTCTGTCAGTGGACATCTCCCTAGAAGAGAGCGTGGACCAGATGATCTCTGAGGTAGTCGCTGAGTTTGGGAGGATCGACTACGCGGTGAACAGTGCCGGGGTCAGCAGCCAGAGAACCCCCTGTGATATGATTTCTGTCCGAATTGTGTCTAAGCTCATGCAAAAAAGCAGATCGGCGTCCAGTTCCCGGCCGAGGTATCCGAGACCAGCGTGAGCGAATTCGACGCCTTCTACAATATCAATGTCAGAGGCACACTACTCTTTACCAAGGCGGTGAGTCGCATTCTGAAGCTCCAGGCCAGAAGGACTATACAAGGTTGCCGGAGTGGAAATGCTCGAAATGTTGGTCGCGGCTGCATCGTCAATATCGCATCCTGCAACTCCTTCATTCCAACGCGCGGGATAGTCCAGTATACGGCTGCGAAGCATGCGGTGATGGGGATTACAAAGAACGCAGGTGAGCAGAGCCCTGCGCACTGTGCACGGAATTGTCTGATGTGTGTACAGCGCTGAACAACGCCGTCCATGGCATTCGGGTCAACGCAGTTTGTCCGTCGTGGGTGCAGGGGCCGATGATGAACCGGGTGTTCGACGGTAACCCTGCTTTCGAGGAGGAAGTGTTGAAGATTCGCTTGGACGATTGGCTATTGCAGAGGAAGTCTCGGAGGCAGTCATGTTCTTGAGCGGTCCGGGGGCGAGCTACATTACTGGCGTGGGATTGATTATTGATGGGGGGCTGCAGACTCGGACATGAGTGAGGTCACAAGATAAACAGAGCATAGCATACCGTATCTCTAGAGGAACTATACCTTCATAGTCAAAATCATACAATCACTACTTCATAGTCAGAATGAAAATCTTTATTGACCGCGCATTACCCCAAGGATGGACCTCAAACAACGCATTCTCCCCAACTCAATCCAGATCATACTTGAGTGCAGATCTCATATTCCAGTCCATTTTATCGCCAACCAACTGACTCACTGGATGTCAGCATCACCGGACCGTACATAAACTTATAAATTGGTGTCATTACCAGACGTGGTAAAACCATACACAAGGCTGTAAGATCCGGTACCTAGTACCTCAAAAAGACAAATGCACAGGAGACACCTCGGCGTTAGCCGAGGATCGACGGAGGAAGCATGACAGGGGGAGCTCGGTTTTTTGTAGCCTTTGATTGGTCGATGAAGAACTATTCGCGCACGATCAACCGTGGGCAACATCAGCTTCTCGGGGTTAACGGGCCATCGAGTCAACAGGAGGAATATCCCAGTAACGAGACAGCTTGAAGTGTCATTTGACAGAAATTGCGGCCTTTCATCAGCAAGGTTGGTCAGAGCTTTGTTGTGCTGGACAAAGAGGAGAAGAAGCCAAATTCTTGCCACGTGTACTCGCGTGTTTCTTTGTCAGAGCAAGCAGCTTCAAGCAACTGATATCGCTCTCCGGGCTAGATAGCAAGCCCCTTCCCAACAGCCTAGAGCACTTGTATCTAGATCGAACCTACGGTCTGTGCCGGCTTAGCTCACAAGCCTTCCCGCCTTGTCCAGCCCACGAGTCAAAAACATCAACAAACAAGAGCCGCCTGACACTCGGTGGGAGGATTCATGGTCATAGCAAATAGAAGAATAGGATAAAGATTAATAACGAGTTCACTTTACGTTTATCATCGTAAAAGACTCTCGCATCGAAATCAGGTTTTGATATACTTTGTATTCATGTAGATAGGCAAATCCGTGAGAATTGGGGTAAATCTAGAGGAGCGCTATAGACCACCTAGCTTGCCCCATTCAACAACCTGCCCCTTCCCCAACTCCCTCCCGTCTAACTGCGGGATCAAAAACCCCGCAAAATACTCATCCAGGTCCTTCACCCGATCCGGTCGAACACTACATCCTACCCAGAGGTCAGGCCTGACAACGACAACCGCCCCGGTGCCATGATCGACCCCCCACACGGTATGCCCGTCCTCATCCGGCGCACGATCATCCGAGACGACCGTAGCAATCGCCTTCAGAGCCTGCAACGCCGGGTCTGCCAGCCTCTCTTCAATCTCAAACGGCAGACACTTCGTCACAACCACAACATTAAACACTCTGCGACCTCCAAAGCGAACATAGAACCCATTCGGATTGGCCAGCGCCTGCGCAAACCGCCTGACATAAGTGGCCACCGCGCCCTCCCAGGAGGAGACGAACAGAACCAGGTGAAAGAACCCGGCGCCGCGCATTACATCATACAAATAGCCTGTGCTTTTGCGGTTGAGACTCACCCGCGGGTTCGGCGCGCGAACACCGCTGTCGACAGCCACAACTGGCGATGTCTCGAGGTCTGATGCGGAGGGGTGGCGACGGCATAAGGCGGACTTTCCGTAGGCAACATCTAGTCCGAGCATGAAGGCGCCGTACTTGGTGTAGAAGTCTGCTAAGTAGAGGTGTTCGGGCAATGAAGTGCCGGGTGGGAATAGGCTGTAAGGTTCCCCGCGCACGGCGTGTTGGATAGCCTCGGCGCCCAGGTCCTTTCCCAGCGAGTGGGTGTACAGCACGGGAGCATCGGAGTTGCAGCAGTAGCGGAGGTATTTGCCGGATATCTCGACGACGTTGGCGGCATGCAGACGGCGTTCCGATTCATACGTCGGAAGGAGGGCTGAGATTGGGGATAGGTTGCGCGCGCAATAGCCGAGTTTCCAGGCTAGGTTAGAGGCGTTGAGGATTGAGGCGTTGAATCCAAAGGCTCCGAAAACACTGTGGACGTGGCTATTGCATGACCATGCGCAGTTAGTTGTGGCCTGGTCGAGGTTGTAAGGTGGGAAACTAAAACAAAAGCGCACGAGGCAAACTTACGCAGCATCACCTGCGAGGTGAACTCGCAGATCATCAGAGGAAAAGGCCTCTGCAACTCGCTCACTGACTTTCCAAATCGCAAACCAGGTCAGCGGCGAGGCAACCTGGACAGTATACGGTGTAAAGATGCGATTCGCCTGCTCGAGGACCTCATCGGGCGTGATGGAGTTAGTATCCACCTTGCCTCCAGCTTCCTTGAAGGAAGGATCCCGTTCCTGTCGTTCTTTGGCGATACGCTCAATCAGTGGCAAGTTGAGCTGCGTATACAGCCGAATATCCCGTCCTCGCGCGGAATAATCACGCAGCAACCATGCTCCGTACTCAGATAGCCGCCAAAGATCCACGCATGAGGGTAGTCAGACTCGAATATCCCGTCCATGATGCCCCAACACATATCCGTACTCACGCCATGGAAGGGGATATTGAGCTTCTTGCGGATCATGCTCGCAGCTCCATCGCTTCCAACCAGAAACTTGGCGCGAACGGTCTCTGTCTCACCGGTCCGGTTATCTCGAATAACCGCTCGGACAGGCCTTTCAGGATCTCCAGGAGATTCAGAAACCCTGTACTCTTGAAGAGTCGTGCAACGCTCGACCAGCACTTGATGCCGCAGCAGATCTCGGACAAAGATCCGCTCCAGCTGACCCTGTGTGATGACGTGGAGGCCCCGGTACCGGGAGTCCGATTGATGCGTGCGGCGTGGAAGAGGACCTTTCCGTCTCGCCAGATCGCCGTCCGCTCGATCAGGGGCCCTTCCTCACTGACCTCCGTCGCGATGCCTCATACATGAAGGAGCTCCAAGTATCGGGGCAATACAGCATCGGCACGGCCGGTAGGCAGAGGCCTTTCGGTTTTGTCCAGAATCCGGATCTTAACGCCCTGGCGGACAAGGCTGAGAGCGATTTCTAGACCTGTTGGTCCGGCTGAACCCGAGAACCGCGAGTCAGTACAATTAAAACGTTGTTTGAGATAGGAGCTATGGCGAGCTGCGTACCTCCTAAAATGAGCACATCCACCTCGCTCGATGGTTCCCACCAACCCAGTGGTCCAGCGGGCGAGTTCGTGCCGTTGAAGATGGTGTGCCATGACCGCAGTCTGCTCTCCCCAAGGGAATTATGCACAGACGAAGTCACGATATCAACAGAGGGAGGAGTCACATGGTGCGATTGAGGATTAGGGAGTATTTCTGCATCAGGCTTGGGATATCTCCAAGGCTCGCCTGCAGAGGGCTGTCGGAAGCCGTTTTTCCAGGTACATGGCTCGGGGGACTTGGACATTGTAAGAAGTGTAGAGGTAGAACTTCTGGGGTTAGACAGTAATAGAGATGAGTGAGCCCAGCACAGAGAGGGAGTTCGTCACGTATAGTCTGTCTCTCCCAAACGAAAGACTCCAGTTATCCTCCATTTTGTATATCCCTTCACTCACCACGTCATGCGATGCTCCAATGTCATCTGCATCCATTCACGTCTCATCATCGCAAAGGATATACCCAGTCCAGAATATTCTGGTGTCATCTTGCGAGGACAAGTGAGCTTTGAGTTATGGCTCTCTCTCGCATGCCGATAACTCGTAGCGGAATTGTCCAAACTTTCAATATGAAGAGCAGTGGATTCGAAAAATACAGCAGTGATGTAGGAGCTAAGGCTATTTCCGAGTATTAAACTTTCGCTTCAAAAGGGTCGGTAGCTCAGTGGTATGAGCAAGAGATTGCAGATCTCGAGGTCGCGTGTTCGATCCACGCTCGGCCCTCAAAGCGTTTCTTTTTTAGTTTTTGTATTGTTAGCTCGCTCTCAATATCCATGAAAATGATATCTTCGCAGTGATTCGAAGTTGCAATTGAGGGGGTGAACGGAGGGGAAACAATGGCAGTCATCATGCAGCCTTGCTTCGCATACCTCCCGATCTCGAAGGACCCTTGAGCATTGTGATCTCAACGTACTGGATCCGAGCTGCAGCGTTGATACCTCTTGCGTGTATTCGTCGATGGCTATTCGTTTTCTGTTGTCTGGATCCCGAAAATATATTTTGCTCGGAGTAAAAAGCAACAATGCACGTGAAGGATTTTATCGAATCCAGGAAAAGATGCCATTCGCGACACTCTTGCCCGCTTCTCTCAGGTGGAACCGATCTTCATTCATTAAACACAACAGGTGGTTCCAGATATTTACAGTACCTAATTGTATTCACAGAACCTTACTTGTTTGACTCAAAGCTCGTGATTCTCGACGCCATCACCAGCAGCAACAGCTGGTCCCTCACGCCTTGCGGTGAAAACCCCGCACAACGATACCCACTCATTTGCTGACTCTGTCTGAGGTGCTTCTGAGATAGCAGCCGCTGGGCCAGTTCCTTGGCACTACTTTAACCACTAGACAAATATGCCGAAGATGAGAAGAGAGGGGGAAAGGCCTTTGCTGCAAGGAAAAATGTTCGTGACCCAATTTGGGGAGCTAGAAATAAGAATTTGATTTTGAAACCACGCGCTGTGAATACGATGGAATCCGAAGCAGGATGTAGACTACTGTAGCTCACACTCGCGGCCAAAATGATCACAATATGGACAGGAATCAAGATACCCTAAAGACCCCCAATCTTTTCTTCCCTGAATCTGATTGCCAGTTTCTCCAAGTTGAACCAGCGGTAAAAGAGCCAGTCAAAGGCCGTATGCGGGAGAAACGTGCTGAAGAACCAGACTAAAGTCGTTGCATTGCCATACCAGAACCATGCTTTGGACGAAGGCTTGACTATCTCCTCTATAACACCCTTGGCATATTCCTCTGGCGTCATTGTATCTACGCAGGAGGGAAAGTCAGTTAGTGGGTGCGTTTGCGAATTGTAACCGAAGGAAGTCAGAACCACTTACTGGGAGTCCTACGAACGTGCTGCCGGAAGGCATCGGCGAGAGGCCCGTAAACAGAGCCCTCAGGGAGACTACGATTGAAATCCGTCTTAAGGATGTTGGTGGCTACCTCACCGGAAATCACATTCACCACGCGGACTCTTTAGTAACCGTTAGCCCCCTCCAAATCTTGTAGTGATAGGGAGGTGATTGAACGACGAACCCAAACGGCAACATTTCAACGCGTAGAGTGTTTCCCCAATGGATCAAGGCAGATTAGCTTGCGTTGTATGATGATCCGTAGACGTATGGGCAGATGCCGCCTATGGAGCCGATGTTCACAATCACACCTTGCCCCGCGATGAGCATGCGATGAAAGACATGCACCATCTGCATCGGTCCGAAAACGTTAACACGGAACATCTTTTCGACCTGGGCGGCATCTGTGTCTACTGCTGGCATTGTGTAGACAATTCCCCTGGGAGGCTGTCAGTCAACGACTGGCGGGTATGAGAATAGGCCTCACGCGTTGTTGATTAGAATATCAAGTCTACCATTGGTAAGAGTCTCGAGAGCCGTATGAAGCTCTCTGACGCTCTTCTCGCTCGTCACATCTACTCTATAGAATTTGACATTGCGAGCAGTCAAATGAGTGTCGTCTTCGTGGGGAAGCAGCGTGGCGATAACAGTGTAGCCTCAATAGACGTTAGGATCTTCTAAAAGCCCAGTCCAGTCCTGCGGTGCAGTACCTTTATCACGTAGACCATACGCAAGGGCTTGGCCGATGCCACCTCCACCACAGCTAGAGCATACTGTCAGTAAACGACGATGATCTCGGTATTGAGAGGGTTACCCGGTGATCAACGCAAATTTCCCAGCCATGGTCAATAAGAAGCTAAGAGATATGAATTTCTTTGCGAATCGTCAACGGAATCTTTGATCTTGGAGAGAGCATAAGAGACACAACAGCGGCCAGACCTATTCTGACTGTATGGCTCCTCCGGGGATCACGGCTCTCGGGCTAGTTGCGAGCCAGCTCAACCGTCGTATGAATGAAAGCCCAGGACGCAATCTGGCGTAGGGATCAGTGAGCTCTACCTTGAAAATCTGATTTTAGCTCCGAGTGACACGCACTCCACCAGTAAGCAAGGACATCCTTTTCGGAACAAAAGCCAAATCTATTCTGTATCATCGCAGATCTAGCTGGTAAGTCTCGAAGACGATATTCAGAAATTTACACAAATCCGAAGGTAATTCTGATGGTCGGTCCGGTTGCTCAGGAGAACTGGTTTTCCGGATTGCGTCGTCAACAAAGTGAGGGAACAACAGCAGCTTGTTGCGGCAGAGGTGCATCACGACTCATCTTCCGACTCCCTCAATAAACCAGATGAACAACGATGAGGCCTGTTCCAGCGTGATAACTGCTCAATGCGCCAGACCTCGAGAACAGAAGTTAGCGAGCAAGATATCAGCTGGCCCTTGGACTGTATAGTAGCACGCAAAATCGTGCCAAGAGCTGCAGGCACAATACTCAACAGGGACACATGGCCATCAAACTACACTTTCAAATGCGTTCGCAGAGTGACGTAGAAACCTGCAATTTTTGTTGATTTCGATTGAGGCTGCATCAGTCTACAACATGTATTGCTGCTCAGTGTTCAGCCACTTGGCCAAGGAACGAAGTTTCTTGGTAGCCATGTAATCTGAGCCTAGGAAGTTTCTGAGCCTTCCTGGTTTGATGGTCATCACCAGGCAGAGTAGTTTCTGATACCTCGATTGATCCCCGGGCATTGAGCTTGGGCTCCGAGTACCTGACGCTTCTACAGAGTCAGCAGGGTCGCATTGCCGGCCCCGGACAAAATGGAACTAAGAAACCTGATAGTCATTGAGCTAGACTAGGAGATAGTGTGAGAAAAAACAGCTGGAAAGCATGAATACGACAATTAGTGCGAGAGGATGACGTCTCACATGTTAGCATTGCATCAAGCCGGCAGACCACACGTGGAAAGGCTGTAGCTAGGAGCGGCTCAATTGAAGAAGAAAAGGTATGGAATATCAAAGTCTGGCTATGGTCGTAAATTAAATCATCGGGTGTTTGCTAGGCATTGAGAGAGGCAGAAGAATACGTTTGAATTGGCAACGCCTAACCCACCGAAATGTTGAGCGCATTCGAAGTTAGCAGTCACCGCAGCCATTCTCGCAATGCAAAATACTATGCCTAGTACTAGATACCATAAGCAATAAGAACAAATTCAGTATCCAGCCTTAATTCGAGGCCCAGGTGCGGAGCATACTATATCGACCAAAGTCCACACAACATCCAAAATCAAATTCTCATCCCCATCAGACTAGAGTATATACTGATCCCTTACTACTAGCACGCATAAACTGACCAACTCCCCTAAGACAAGATCCTACTTCCTCTCATCAGCCGGATAACTCTCCGCCAAGCGCCCCATATCCTGCTCCACCAACTTCCCATCCAGATACAACGGCTTGATAGGCAAAAGCACATAGAGCATCCGCGCCGGCTCCGTTGGCAACAAATTCCGCCAAGTGTGGACGGTAGCCCGGTTGACAGAGACATCGCCGCGCTTCATCACGCGCTTCTCGCCACTGTCCAGCTCGAACTCAAATTCCCGTTCCAAGACCACCCCGTAGCCCAGGGAGAGGGCCCGATGCGCGTTGGATTCGCAGCCCGGGGCGAAGTCGATGATCCGGATGAGCGAGCCTTCGTTCTCCATCAGGCCGGGCTAGATTTCAGTTGCTGTGGGTTAGCAGGTGGGGGGCTTTCCTGGGTGTGCGTGTAGGAGGTGTCAATGCACTAAGAAAAAGGATGTGCGCTATGTACTGTACCTCGTGGGTGCTGGAATACTGAAATCCTGGCCGTCGTTCAGGTCGACTGGAAAGCCGGTTGTGTTGTAGATGACGTTGTTGATGGCCCAGCCGTTGGCCATGGGAGAGTCCCATTGAAAGTTGGTGGGGGGAAGGAAGACGCCTTTTCCTTCCTCATTGTGGGTGGTGATGTTGCGGGTGATATCTCGGAGGCCGGGAGCTGGGAACGTCTGCTTGCCATAGGGCCCGGGCGATGTGAAGCATTCGGGCATTGTGAATGGTTGGGAAAGTGGTTTTATTAATTCAAACTGAACAATGTGCTGGTGATCGTTAGTATTAAGGCAATGTCTCTTATACAATGAGGGGTTGGCAGTTGTGTCCGGAAAGGTCCCATTTATCTTCGAATCTTAGGGGTACGTTGTAGTTATCCCGGTGGGTGTGATATCATCCGAATTAAAGGATATTCTTTCTAGCACCCACAATCCTTAATTCTGAGAAATTCTGGTCTGAGTGTATTCTGTCCGCACCTCAATAGGAAATCATATCGTTCGGCGATTTTCAGACATAGAATGACTTAGTCTGTAAGTAGCAGTCTCCCACCTGTACTGGTAATGTCTTATACTCTATTGACTAACCTTGTGTTTGTACCAGGGTACTGAGCCCCATATTCTGATTCCAGGCAGCCTTATTCATCTCTTGCCTTTTGCAGATCATCTGGGGAAATGTTACACTGCATCGGTTGTACCATGGGTGGCGTATCAGTTGCTTGGTTTGCAGTTCTTGAAGAAACATTCGGATTCAGATGATTCAAATCAATGACGAAACTCAACTTGAACCATAGGTCTGAGTACAATCTTCGGGCCAAGGCATGATTATTGCGCATCAGAATCATTCAAATTCAATGTAACAATGCACGAAGTACCCATTGCTATTGTTCACTATAACCATAAAAAGATGTGCTGTTCAAGATCCTGTCGTGCCACCTGACTTCTTCCCTAACACACCTCATATCAACTATGACCGACCATCTAAGCACGACGCGTAATGGTCACTTGCATGTCCTGAATCAGCATGAACACATAGCTCTTCACAGTCCAAGGATTGGTAGGACTGTAGATCGAAAACCAAAGTGTCGCAAAAGCTGAGGATAGTCAGCACGTAGGCTTAGCTTCCAAACCGGTCTGAAGGTGACCAAGCCGGCACACGTACCTCGACGATGACCTGCTTCATTTCCATGACTACCATCTGTCGTCCCAAACACAGCCATCTCCCGTATCCAAAAACAAGGTCGTTGACCTTCTCCATCCGAGCCCTCTCTTCAGGGGTGGCCTTAAGCCAACGCTCCGGTCGGAAGGTTTCCACATCCTCGCCAAAGACAGGGTTGCGTTGGAACCTCCAGAAAGAGGTTGCGATGCCCGTCCCGCCGGGAATGAACTTACCCTTGATGACCTCTCCACCCTTGTTGACTTGCTTGATGTTGAGCCCCGCGAAAGGAGGCCAAATGCGCATCCCCTCGCGAATACAGGCATCAAGGTACGGCAGCCCAGCCACCTCTGCCGCGGTTGCCTGTGGGGAAACCCTGCCGCTTCGGGTTGCTTCGTCGATCTCAGCGCGGAGTTTGTTGTATGCTGGCGGGGAAGTGAAAATATGCAGCAGCGTTCCTCGAAGTGCCGCGGAGTTGGAGTCGGTTCCGGCAGAACTGTGCAGTTTAGATACAGCATAGGCTTGGGAAAAAGGCAATGCAAGGGAACTTACAGTTGGGTCAAGATCTCAGCCTCGGCTTGTGCGACAGACATGCCATGATTCAAGAACGATCCAAGCATATCCTGTTCGTTCTTGCCCGACTCAATTCTTTTCTTGACCGTTGACTCGGCCATTCTATCTCGTATCAGCAGAGTTCTTCAATTTGCGTCTTGCAAAATTCCGTACGCCATAAGATCCCCAATACCCTTCTCATCTTTAGTGCTTGGACCCCACAGCTTCTTGACAAAGTCACGGTTCATAAAACGACACAAAGTTGGCATGGAATTAATCACCGAGATCATGGGTGCCTCTGCAGCAAAAGTGGTATGATAGCCATGCAAGTCTTGGTCGGTGGCGAGATACCCAAACGGCTCTCCGAAGGCCATATCGGTAATGACATCAAGGGTAAAGAATTGGCACGCCCTGCTAAAGTCCATGATACAGTTTTCATTTCCTCGGTCAATGCGCTCATCAATGTAATGGAGAAAGGTCTGGATACTTCTTGCGATCTTGCGTTCGAGGATGGCATTGTTCTTGATGATATACTACAGATGCATGATCAGCATTTGCAATCCGACCACCTTGGCAGATAGCAACTACCGCTGGTCCCATAGTCGCTCGCAGTTGATCGTGTTTTGCTAGGTCTCGCTCGGAGAAAATATTGTCGATGTACGGGTTGAGTCTCATGAACGTATACCAGTCGGTTTTGGCATGTTTACTGCGGGCGTTGTTCATGTGCCGGATGATGTCCGGGTCATCGGTGAGCAGTGTGGTCGGCCCAATTCGAACCAAGTGTCCTGGGGTCATTACCCACATCAGCATCGAAGATCATTTCGGCATGAGGATCATTGCTTACCAGGTTTCTTATTTGCGTCCAAAAGGATCTCGTGAAAGCGACCTGATAGCGCTGTCTTGGCGAGCCATAGCTCCGAGAAAGACGCAAGCCATGGTCCATGGAAGTTTTTGAGAAAGAACCAGGCTCTGATGTAGTTGAAGGCCAAGCAGGCAAAGATGAAGGAAGCTCCATAGAATGAGAAATTCGACACCGTGAGGTAGTCCTGAAGAGCAATACTCCGTGATATTCATTGCGAAGAAACAGCCAAGTGTCGCTTTAAGCATTCGAGGTAATGATAGTCGTAAAGAAATGTTCCGATTAGATGGCTCTGGGATAAATAGGTCAAGAGAAGGTACAGAGTAGAGCACCTGCTTCAATCAAGTCACTTAAGGTTTAAGGGAAAGATAGAGATAGAAGGAAAAGAGATGGGGGCTGACTGTAAAAGTCGGGGTCAACTATAAAAAAAAAAAAAAAAACAAACCTAGGGATGAAATAGCTCTCCTGCAGTTCGTGGAGAGGACCGACAACTGGGTGTTATCAAGCTTTTCCTTGTTCCATCGTTCTGCAAAACAACGTCGGGTAAATTTGAAACTCGGAGAGCCTTCTAAGACAATCGCAGAATCAAGATAACCGTGCAAGGCCTCGAGTCACACTACTGTATGCAGCCCACATGAGACTCATCCCATGTGTTCGCCATGATCATGGAGCAGCCATGTTTACAACGTGCCACAACCGCAGGCCTTGTTCCGCCTCGAAGCGTAGGGTATGCTTTGAGCCAGCTCTTGATGCTTGAGTGAGCTCGTAGTAAACTGGTCTGGATTACAACACCTTGCACCTCGAAGCCGTTCACTCTATAGTCGATAACTTGCTCATTGAAAGTCTATGGGGCTATGATGACTCCGAGTGTGAGACCGGAGGACCAGCGATAGGCGAATCAGAAAATGCTTCAAGGATCGTGCATCCTGATCTTCTCCCATTCTTCTCAGCGTACAGGTAATCTTCAGGCTCTATCCTTTCAGGATCGACGTGACGAAAGGATGTGTGAGCGGTATATCGGTATGTTGTTGAAGAATGGAGGGTGAATGACAGTCAGGCGTCCGGACCGCAGGAGAAGCGGAGCTGGTGTAGCGTAACCTGTGTCTCGGAATCATTGTCTGACATACACCTGGTCAGTCTTCGAGGGTCATGCTCAAGGATGAACTATATCGTGGAATGCAGAGTGTTGTCTCGGATACTCTTTGTAGCTTACGAACTCCGACAAGGAGACCTCGAAATTCAGACAGAAAATCGAGGCTCCATATAAAAAAGAGCCTTCTTCCTGGCTGAGCAGAAAGAATCCAGATATAACAGCCACTGGTTAATTAAGAGTTCTTCAAAACAGCTATATCTTGGTCACGAAAGAGGAATGAGCCTTTATAGCCTCAAGTCAACGACATGAGCCCAACATTCAACGAACTGGAAGGAGCAATGAGCGAGTTCTCTCCAACCGTTTCAGTATCTGACTTACAAGCACCCGATGGAGTCAGTGACGGCCCCTCTGAGAACGAGCCAATCGCTTTTATCGGGCTTGGTATGAGGCTCTCCGATCATGATGAGCATTAGCGATTGACATCTGTTTAGGTTGCCGGCTGCCCGGGGGAGTGAGATCTCCAAAGGAATTATGGGAGCTACTCGTTGCCGAAGGGTCTGGCCAAGGTGATGTCTCTCCTTCTAGATTCAGCATTGATAGGTTCTATCATCCCAATGGGTCTGAAAGACCTGGCAGCCTTGACAAGCGAGGCGGATACTTCCTCAAGGAGAACATTCGCGATTTTGAGAACAGTTTCTTCGGGATTAACAACCTCGAGGCGACGTACATGGACCCTCAGCAGCGGAAGTTGCTCGAAGTGATGTACGAAGCTTTCGAAAGCGCTGGGGTACCTTTTGAGAAGGTATCCGGGGCCAATATCGGTACCTATGTCGGAAGTTTTGCCATGGATTTCTGGACAATGCAGGCCCGGGATTCCGAGTATTTCCATAGACTCAGCGCAACCGGAATGGGAACGACCATTCTCGCCAATCGCATCAGCCGTCTCGGACGATAACAAAGAGCTCAAGCTTCGTTACGCAAGCTGCCAGAATTGCGCCGAAGACTTCGACGTGACGAAGAATACGAGTACGAGCTGCCATTTTCACCCGAGTAAGTCTTGACATATAGCCACTGATATCTGCAAGTGACTGACATTACCACCTCAAGTGCCGTATGAGATGGATAACGATTACTTCCAGGATGATTGGGAAGGCTTTGCCGGTGAATGGTGCAAGGAGGAGTGGCCGGAGGCTTTCATTCATCCGTGTTGTGACAGAGACATCAGCCAGGAGCCCTGTGCAACGGGGTATCATCGGAAGGCTACCAGGAGAGTCAAGGAGAGGCGTTGATGCCAATGCGGCGAAAAGGGATCCTACCTGATCTATTTTGTATATATCCTCACTCTTGTGTTATTCTTGCGAGTGTACCAATCAACACAGGTGCGACAATGTATCTACACTCCGAGAGATCGCTTACACCTGCCAGTCTGCTTTGTGTTGAGATTGTGCAAACTCGGAATACTTGATCTGCAATAGTCCGCATGGTTGTAAATACCCCGTAAATCTACATACATCAGCCAAAGTAATCAATAAGAACCACAGGAATAAGCTTTCCCAACACAGCCCGAATGCATGCAGGTTCTCCCTCCGTCGCTTCCCGATGACAGCCCACTGCAACCTAAGGTTCCCTTATCGATAAGCCCAACCCTAAATACTGAAGAAGCTTAACCTACCTATGTTAGGTACTCCGTAGCTCTGCAGGTGCTCCGAGTCCCGAGGGTAATTGCGTCCTCAGGCACACACTCACCTGTGGGGTTGAAGTGAAGTGTGGACCCGCATCTTCCAGTTCAATCAATTTCCGTCATCTCCAAGCAACTCCAACTCAGTCCAGCTTCCGCGCGTACATACAACATGACTGAAAACCACTAACCACTACACCCACACCTACATCTACACCCACGCTTACCGCCCATAACCCACAAGATTGACATAACCTACAATTCCCTCTCATCCTAAACAACAAATATACCGGAAACTTACAAAACCCAACACGAAATAAAGCCAACAACGTCTCGCAGAACAATGTCCTCACACCCACCACACCCCGACTCCCAACCTCAACAACCCCGAGAACCACACCACCCCCCTCCGACACCAAAACAAAGACTCCCCATCCACACAAACCACTGTCGCTTCTGCAACCACCTCCTCCTCGCCACAACCCGCACAATCACGACCCTCCCGCGCCGCAAACCCCCAGCCCAGGATGCCGCGCTGATCCTGCCGCTGCCCCGCGCAGAGGAGGAGGAGGAGGACGAGGAGGAGGATGACGAGCTGGATACAAACAACAACCCCAAGGCCGAGAACGCCGCGGCGAAACAGCCTCACTACACGATCCTCCTCTCCACCACCATCCCAGACCGGAAACCTACCTTGGTGAGGCGGGAGGATGGGTTCGAGAAGCGCCTGCTGCTCCGGTGCGGGCGGTGTCGCGTCGTGGTGGGGTATTTCTTGGATGCGGTGCATTTTCCGTCGACGGAGATCACCAAGGAGGCAGCAGGGGAAGATGAGGAAGATGATGGAAATCGACGGGCGAAGGTGGTGTATCTTCTGCCGGGGGCCTTGATGGAGACGGGGGTCATGGAGGCGAATGATGTTGAGAAGTTGGGGGCGATGGATCGGGAGTGGGCTGGGTGGATGGAGAGTTCGTGATTTGCCCTGGGGTATGCTGGTCCTACTGTTTTACGAAGTACAAGTTACCCTTTTTCGAATTGTCTACAGCTCAGAGATCGGAAGATGCTGGTAATCAACATAGACTCAAGGTTCTGTCTTGCAGTTCCAAATTTGCTGAATGGCATACGCCAGCTCCATATACACTACAAGCGGAATAAACTTTATAACAGATGAACTAATCTAATCTCAAGCCGACAACTCCGACAACAGGGATCGCGCAGGGAAGAAGAAAGGAGGCATTTCGTCACGAAGCGTCAGGGAAAGGGTATCGTATGTCGTTTAGTTGGCAAGGATGGTGCGGACGAGATCTGCAGAACTCGATATCAGTCTTGCTGAATTCCCCGGGATCGATGTGGGGATGTTGTCAAACGTACCGGTATAGTTGATCTCGCCGGAGCTAGTGTCAACGGCCTTCAGCAACTCATCGACCTCCTCGTCGGACATCTTCTCGCCCAGGTTGGTAAGAACTATAGCCATCGTCAATATCGCAGATTCCCGAATTCTCATCGCCCGGCGAGCGTGAACATACTGTAGCGCAGTTGGCCCACTCCAATAAATCCAGTCAAGTCCTTATCAAATACTTGGAATCCGCGGGTGTATTCCTCGGGCTCGCCGGGATCGCGGAATCCTCCGGGGCGGTTGAGGACCTTCAAGAACGACTCGAAGTCAACTAGATCGTCGTCAGTCAGCAACAATCCTTTTTAAAGGAATTCCAGAATCAAGGGCGCGCGCATACAGTCTCCGCCCACGCTCTTCTCCAGATCCGCGATTTCCGCCAACGTGGGGTTCTGCCCGCAGGCACGGAGGAGATCGCCCAGCGATTCGATGGCGACCTTGCCGGTACCGCGCTTGTCGAACAGCGAGAAAGCTTCCTTGTAGTTGGTCGAGGCCTGTTGATCGTGGTGAGAATGAGGTGAGTGTGCCATCTTCAGATGCGATGCGATAAAGATAGATAGATAGAAACGGCAGAGAAGGAATGGAAGCGACGGGGATGAAGAAGAGAAGGAAAGAGAGAGATTCAGATCGTGCCGCTGAGGTGACGAGCAACCAGCGACGCAAGGCTGCGATCCGCGGAAACGAGGGGCGGAAGGGATTGGACGGGCAGACGAGAGGGCCGGGATTCCACCATGGTTCCAAACAACTCGCTCGTAGATTCAACACCAGAGGGTCAACAACAATCAATTGTGTAATCAATCCCTAGCCTTAATGATAGCGGACGCGCTGCAATAAGACGTAAGGTGTCGTCGCCCGGGCATTTCCTCATCCGCCCGCCAGGAACCCCAATGCAGGCCATGGCTCCATAAGCAATGAGATCCAGCCACGTACCATGGTTGTTGTTCTGTTGATTCCACAAACGGAATGTTCTTCCTGTTTAAGCGAAGGTGACAAGGCGATGAATTGGCACGAAGAATTCAATCAGCACGTTCACCTGGGTTGGGGGTAAACACCAAAAGATATTGGATTGACTGGAATGAAGGAGGGGAGGGGAGGAAGAGGAAAGGAGGTGAGGCGGTGGAGGAGGAGGAGGAGGAAAGACTCAAAGAAGGGAGCGAAACAAGCAATGACGCCCGCCCCGCGCTTGTTGTTGTGGTAACCGGACACCTCAGGCTCCAATACGCGCAGTACTGAGTTCAGATCTATAGGAACGCCAACCTTGGTCGGTTCTACTGGATTAAAGAACTGAATAGGTCATAAAAACCTCTTTGCCATGGTCTCTCCCTCATGAAACATTCCTGGTCACATCATGGTCACAAACGCCCTTCGAAGCCTAGCTTGACTACCACAAAGAAAAGTAGCTGGCTTCAACTTTCATCTCTGGCAAAGTTTGCGATAAAGCGTATTAGATATACAAGAAGATTAAGTACAAGCCTGCCGACTAAATGGGACTTGCAGTGGTGTGCACTGCCAGAATCCAGTACGTCGGCCACATTACGCGGCTGCGCCGCCATTCAGCTTGTCGATACAGCTGCTGAGTAAATTGGCCGCCTCAGTCAGTAGCTCCCAGCGAGTGTTCGTGAACCCATTGCGGAGAACCATCAGCAACCCCATACATTGATTGCATCCTTTCATCCCCTCAAGGTCACTGGGTTCGCGAACTCCGCCAACCCGCCGCAAGAACTGTTGCATGTCATGTCGCTGCTCTGCAGGTCGAACCAATTTGACGGGGTGATTGAGCGGGCCTTCGAGAGCGTACCCGTAGCACCAGACCACGAGAGCAGCAACATAAAGGACCCATGGTCGGTTGAGCAGGTAGTCATCCCGTCCCGAGTAGGCTTCATCATTATCGAGCACCCGCTCCTCGTCCAACAGACACTCAGACAGAAACCTCAGAGCGTAGAATGTGGCGTCGCGGGCCGTGGCCTTAGTTGCCCATCGGTTCATTTTTTCGCGCGCCCCGTCGTAGTCCTTTCGGGTGATGGCGCGCCCCATGAGCCGCCCAGCTCCGGCAAAAACCTGGCAATCCACAATGTCGACATGGGAGGCCATATGTGCAAGTCCATGCAAGACATCGCGCGATTCGAATACATTGGCTTCGTCCCAAGGGTGTCGCGCTCGGTAACCCCCGGTAAACGATCCTGGCTCCGACGTTCCCAAAGCCTCGTCGAAATCCCGTCGCCAGTTGTCGAAAGCCCGCAGTAAGGCGGACCTCCACTTATCGCGACCCCCCAATGCCTGCAGCACACCCAGCGAACTTACCTGGAGATCACGCTGGTTCATGTGCCAGCTGACACTCAGCAAGCCTGCCATAAGAATGGTGCGTCCAAATGCATTGGTTCGGACCGGCTGGCCATTGAGCGTCCTTTTAAGACCATCCAAAAACATGAGAGGTTTGACTCCATTCGCATGTAGACTAGATTGCACTCGAGCCACTTCAGAGGCATTGGTCGCAGACCATAGCGCTCCATCGCACGGAAGAGGCAGACGCAGCTCGTGGGCCACCATCTTGGCTGAGTGTCCAAACATGGTCGCATGCGTAGAGTCTAACACAAAGGCTGCAAATGCTACCCGCCTTGTAGCTTCGGCTTTGATCCAGTGAGTCCATGACTCTTCCGCCACGAAATCGGGAGTCAACGTCGACCCGGTTACTGAGCGACTTTGTCGATCGTCTCTAAGGCTCGCGGGGGAATCTAGTGCAGAGCGGCCAATCAACGAACTGCCACGTCGCATTAACGTAAGAGTAGTATCATGGTGTATATGCGCTCGCTCATGCAGTGCACGGGTGGAGTACATCTTCTCGTACACTTCGAGGAGGAGTAGTGCCTGGAAGACCCACAGCTTTGCTGGAGGCCGAAAGTCGGCATCCATGAACAACTCCCAACGTAAATGCCATGCAATAAAGTTCGCCAGCTCAGCTGCGGTCTCAGTGACGTCTGATCCATACATCTTGTCCAGGGTAGACGCTCCAATAGCTATGACAGCCAGCAGAAGCAGGTTCGGGGCTTTGTTCAAGACAAATGACGGACGATGCAAGATGGGTAATTGAGGGTGGAAATGATGCCAGTACGATGCGATATAGGCCTCCATCATGCGCGGTCCTAGGACATGGCGGTCGTCATTCATATCACCTTCCATCAAAGCATCCTTCCGTTTTGCCACTGCTGAGTATGCTGCTTCATTAAAGCGTGACCCCATAAGCGCAAGAAGCTCCTGTCTCTTTTCATTTGAGAGGCTCATTCGTGAAGACCCGGCGTCCAGGATACTAGTCACGCTCATCGGATCGTGCGGAATTACTCCGTTCATGAAACTCCCGTACCCAGGATCGCCCAGCAAAAACTGGTTCTGCAGCTGGATCGCATTGAGGTAGTTCGGGATCATATTGGTTGCAGATGGGTAGCCCATCGAGGACGAGCTGGGAAGAGGGTCATTGAACAGCCACGCTGTGAAATCCTCGGGCATTGCGAAGGGAGACCGGTTGTGCGTCTCTCCGCCAAAAATCGGGTAGACACAGGAGGCCAGAGCGTCAAAACCAGGGTCTGCCACCGTTGACCCCGGAGCCATCATACCGGGAACAGTGTCCAGCGCATCAAAAGTACTCACGGTGTCCAATGTCGCCGGCGCTGAAGTTGTCACTGCTGGCGCCAAGATACCCGCGTATCCATCCCCAGGCATCGGTGCATATGGTGCCGGATTTGCCAGCGACTGCCCATCCATATAGCTAGATATGATTGTCGTTTCATTTACAGAATGACGTCCTCGGTTCTGTTGACCTGTTTCGCCCGAATGTAGAGACATGCTAGTCGATGGATGACTCCGGTGCGTATGGTAATCCGAGGGGCTGAAAGTACTGGCTGACTGGCCCGCCGGGGAGCTGGTGGTTCGGTTGCTCAGACTAACAGAGCGAGAAAAGGTGGGATCTGATAGCTCAACACCCGGCTGTGAACTAAGTGGTGGATATTTGTATGCCTGAGGCGAATGCCCTGTCCGAGAGGGAACCGCAGCGGATTTTACGTCGATATTGGTGATGGTGATGGAATCTACCCGTCCCTCAACTGACGCCTGGGTTGATTTGTGTGTGGGAGAAGAGATTGGGACCCCAGTCGGGGATTCGCTGTGGGTTTTCTTAAGCACGGGCGGCTTGTTCTGCTCAGTTGAGACAGTCGGTGCATGATTTACGGTAGCCTGCGCGAAACTGTCCCGCTTCTGCAGTTGAGACCCTTGCGTCGTGTGTCGTTCACGATGGCGCAGGCACAGGTCCTGTCGGACAAAGGATCGGTAGCAGTCGGGAAAATCACATCGGTAGATCTGTTTTGGGGTATCTAGGTTGATCGCTAGTCAGCTTACGCTCCTTTGAATAATCCTTTGAAGGTGGGGAAGCGAACGATTCAGCTGATGACGGTACAGGTGTTCTGCGCGCGAATAACTCTTCCCACACCCATCAAAGGTACATTCAAATTTACGATCCGTCTGAACTTTCCGAGTTCTCTTCCTCTTCCGTGAGGAGCCATCCAGCGCCGCATCTGCCGCATCGTTTTCGGTCGACATATGTGTTTCCTCGCGGGAGCTTTGAGGTCCCTGTTCCGGGGGAGCTACTGCAGTGACAGCTGAAGTCATCATGCGCAAGGATATGGCAGTGGAAA